TTGCTTTTCGATGAAATCATAGAAATTTTGAATTTACCTTCAAAATTGGCTAGATAGTAGGCAACTGCTGCATACGCTTTATTACTTGCGTCACAAAATACGTGTAGCTCAACCTCTATCGGAGTGTACTCGAAATAATGTCTGGGAATTTTTAAATTGTCCAAATATCCTAGAAGACAGCACCAGTTTTGCCATTTTTTGTAGATATATTCGGGTACCACTTCATCCCAATCCATTTTTCTGGCCCAACATTCTTGGAAGATCAGCCTTCCTTTGATCACCAGGGGAGATAAGAATCCGATAGGATCAAAGATGGTCATGACTATTTTCAGAATTTCTCTCTTTGTGGGTAATTTAGAGCCATTTACTAATTCTGTGTTCATTTTCCTGAATGTGTTCCGAAATGTTAATATATCTGTTTCAGTATTCCAGTACAATCCCAAAATTCTCTCAAAATGATTAGAGTCAAAATTCAGAATACAATTTTTAGCCAGATAATCAGGAGGAATTGTTTTGAGTGCTTCAGCTGAATTAGATAACCAGTTTACCATTTGAAAATTTCCACGACGATGCACCTCAATTACACTCTTGATGGTCTCGATAACTTCTTGTAAGTTGTCTTTAGAATCTAAATAGTCATCTACATAATGCTGATCTAACATGATTCGCATTATATCAGGAAATTCTTCTGAAAATTCGTTAGCATTATGATTCTTGACATACTGAGCAATGGAAGGAGAGCAAACTGCACCAAAAATCATGACACGCATCTGATATATATCTGGATCACGATTCCTGTCCATACCACGGAATAAAAACCTCTGACAGTTCCGATCTTCATTTCGAATTAAAACTTGGTGGAACATTTCCCTGATATCACCACAAAATGCATATGTTCGTTCTCTGAAGCGCAAAAGAATGGAAGTCAGTAGTGGATAGTAGTCTGGACCTTTAAGCAGGAAGTCGTTCAGACTAACTCCATGGCTTTTGGCAGCAGCATCGAATACGAATCGAAATTTCCCGGGCTTGTTGATATTTTTGACACCAAAGTGTGGAAGATACCATGTTCGACCAGTTTCTACTTCATATTCGACTTTCGATAACTTCTCACAATATCCTTTTCGTTCATATTCTTTGATTTTATTGCAATATTGTTCTGCAAAATCACTATCGCCGTCCATTTTCTTCTCCATGCACTTTAGTCTTCTGTAAGCTGTCATTTTGCTTTCAGGAAGAATAGTGTTTTCATCTTTCCATGGTAGACCTATTTCAAATCTTTCACCCCGACGTTTGATTGTCTTTTGAAAGATTTCTTCGGCCCTCTTATCTTCTCTCGATAATTTGGCAGCTGTTGAAGATACGATATTTTCAATTCGAAAATTTTCTTCTATCATTTTGGTCATATATTCCTCATCGTGGTAACACATATTCACATGGTATGTTCTGGTTTCATTTCCATTTTCGATGTCATATGGACCATGAACCACCCATCCTAATTTGGTTCTAGAGAATACTGGTTGATCAAATCTGGGATGTATAGTTTCATGCGAAATCATGACAAAAATGTTGTCTTGTCCTATCAATATCTTTGGACGAACATTCTTCACCGATTCTAAGATTTGACTATCCAAGTACTTATATTTATCGCATAAGTACTTTGGATCGATTTTCTGGCGAGGCAACATCAAATTTTTAATAACTCTAGCATTCTTGATCATATAAGTATTCTTCTCATTCATGCCAGCAATATGAAAATTAACAATTCTCGAACTTTCTTCATTGTGTGTGATCTGATTCGTCCATTGCAGGCAAATTGGAGTAACAGGTCCATCTAATTTGATTTTATCAGCAATGCTTCCATCGATTAATGTCACTGTCGATCCTTCATCCAGCAACGCATATGTTTCAATAGAGTCCTCTTCGCCAAAAATCGTAACTTTTATCACTTTCAAAATACTGGACGTTTTTTCAGAAACACACCCTAAAAATTCTGGAGAGTTTTCACCAGCAACTTCCATTTCATGAACTGTTAAAACTGGACTATCATCGGCATCATTGGCTTTTCTTGTACTCGACTGATCGTCTCTCTTGAGGTGCAATAGTCGATTATGTTTGCCCTTGCACTGATCGATATTGCAGGTAGTTTTTGAAAAACATTTGCTCGCAACATGGCCAGTATTCAAACATTTATAACATAATTTGTTTTCCCGGACGAACTCTCTTCGGTCAGTAATAGATTTTTCAAGAAAACTCTTACAATTATACAACTTATGAATCTCCATCGGACATAATTTACACTTTTCGTGCGTTTTCTGAACAACACTCAGTACCTTTTCCTTTTTATCAAATGATTTGTATTGACATGTGTTGGTTTGAAATGACGTTGACACCGACATCAAAAGGTTGACTTCAGATTTCAGCCAGTCTGAAAAATCTTTCAAACTAATTTCTTTCTTCTCCAGCTCTTTGTGAACTTTGATTTGTGCCCATGCTCTTCTTGAATTCCTTGGTAGTTTGTCTTCTAGCTTCATCAGTAAATCTGGATTGTCTAGATATTTGATGCTTCCCGTGTTTATCATCGAAACAACCATATTGGATACAGTTATCGAAAACTGCATGTAAGTTTCCACATTATCATCTTTAGGATTTGGACAACGTCTGGCTTTTTCCATAAGATCTATTATTATCCAATCACTCTTGCCGAAGTACATTTTCAAAGTATCTATGATGGCATCAACATTATCAGCACTACAAAAAAGATCTTTCACCACATCTCTGGCTTTCCCTTTGAGGCAAAATTGAAGACGATTCAAATTGTCTGCTTGAGATAAATGTTTTTCTCGAGTTGTCCGATTGAATTCAGCTAACCAGAAAGGAAATTCATGAATAGCACCATGAAAATGTTGAAGTTGAGTACTCTTTTTATCAGCTAATTTTTCCAAATTAATATTGAGGTTTTTCATGCAAGATACTAAAGTTTCGGTTACATTTTCTTTGTTTGCAGGGGAATCCGAAACATTTTCGTTTTCTGGAATTATTGAATATCCACAGTAAGCTTGTCTTTTAGTATCATCAACCCAATTTTCTACAATTGACTTCTTGTCTAGTTCTTCATCTGCAATGAGATAAAGACTTTCTGATTTCTGTGATCCTCTCTTTGATCCAATAGATTTGATACTGAATGTTCTTTCCATTTCAATTAATTCTTGTTTTTTTATCAGCATCTGAAGCTCTAGTTCTTTCTTCTTTATCAGTATATCCATTTCTATTTCTTTTTCCTTAATCATCATTTCCATTTCTATCTGCCTTCTCTGCTTTTCTATCTCCAATTTCAGAAGTTCATTTCTACCAATTTCGGTTCGTTCTATATTAGTGTGTTGTCTAGAGCTGGATGGTATTTCTTCACCTTGATTAGAGAGTCTCTGAGCCGCACGAATATTTATGGATGTCGATGGTCTATTTTCAATTGGGGCACCATCTCCACCGCCATCCTCAAAATTTTCTCGGAGAACTTCTCTTCCGTTTCCTCTTGCTAAGAGTTGTCCATCCAAGCTGCTAACACCAAATCTCCTCGGAGGAATTCCGCGATTTGTTCGTGAACTTCTTCGAAACGTATTTTCCATTTTTTTTAATAGCTCGAAGGACCAACTGTTGAATATATCCAGGAACTATCTAAAGGATTCTATTCAACGGTATATATGAATCTTTTGTGATTCCAAAGACAAAAATGACTGTTCAAACTTTTTATTTATTTGACAACATCAATCATCATTATTTTTCTAAAAACAAAACCTGACACCTGTAACTATATACAGAGCATCTATAAGGTGAAATATAAATAATTAACAACCTTGATGGAATCAACTTCAGCATAGCTGAAAGTTGCAACATGAAACATTTCAATTAGACATTTTATACATTGAATGCACAAATATATCCTTGATAAATGATCTTTAAAGTTGATTTACTTGATTTTTCATGCAGATGCAAATGAATAATGAGGACAAACATTTTCAGTCTTACTAGTTGACGCAACTAAAGTGTGAGATATCTCTCTGAATTCCAAATTTCCTTGAAGGCTGATGCATCTTTATCTAATTTATGGGAACAGTGACATGTCCTATGTATCAGATACAAAAATTCAATTTTATGGTTTTGCTTAGTCCGGCCGCCAAACGTCTTATGTGAAACGTAAATTTCGACCCTATTTTCATGTTGATCTGTGGAATCTGCGCATGCCCTATTGAAGATTGGTTTTCTGCAAATGTTTCGAAAATAATACAGGGTGGCCTTGAAGGCCTTGGAAAAAAACCTAGCACATATTCTTGAAGACAACCACCCATTAGATTGAGTGACTTGTCCCATTGTATTATTCAATATTTTGTACTTTTGAGAAGATTTTCACTGAATTCCATTGTCACTTGTCAATGTTGCAATTTAATTCTGCTAAATACCAGTTGCTAACATTACATTTAACACCGGATGATGAGGATGAGATTGTCCGTTTTCTTTGAAATAACGAAATGGATTACTCAATTTAGTCCTTGGCCTAGAAAGAAGATAGATACCTTCCTTCCATACAGTATATTCTATCTAAAATTTTGGTATAAATATGGTTATTTGATATATTTTACAATGTTTTTCTCCATTAAATCAGAGTATGTCTTCTTGCTCAAGTGTAAAGCTTCTCTATTTTGTTTGAGTTTGTAAATTCAAAAAGGAGAAGCGTTGGTAAGTTTGATAGTAAGTTTTCGTCATTTACGATTCAAAGAGACAAAAATGTCCTCATGTAGTTTGTATTAGATTTTGCTTTGATGTTCCTGTATTGTTTCTGTGTGACTCAAATTCAAAGGCTGTGCCCACACGACTAGGAGGCGGAGACTATGCAAATGTTACATGATTTCATCATAAGAAAAGCACATGAATATAGATCCTGTATAAATTTTAGTAGTATTACTCTGAAGAATCTACAGTTGTTATTGGACACATTTTTTTTTCAGGCAAGGGAGAATCGTCATGCGATGGCGAAAGCATTGTATTCCAGAACTTTTGCTTGGTTAATAAATCATATTAACAATTGCACAAATCCCGGACAAGATTCTAGACGGTTTCTGGGAGTTTTGGATATTTTTGGATTTGAAAACTTTGCTGTGAACTCTTTTGAGCAATTGTGTATCAACTACACAAACGAAAAGCTGCACAAATTTTTTAATCACTATGTTTTCGCGTTGGAACAAGAAATTGTAAGTGAAAATATACATTTTCTGTGGAAAATTTTCCGAAATATTGATTTTTCTGTTTAATTTCAGTATTCTCAAGAGGAAATTCAATTCAACCATATATCGTTTACGGACAATACTCTTTGTTTAGAGTTGTTAGAAAAACCTCCGAGATGTATTTTAAGGCTGTTATCTGAACAATGTCATTTACCCAGAGGTTGTGATGCATCTTTCATAACAAATTCACACACTGAATTTGAAAATCATGAGAGATATGTGAAAGGTAGTTTTTTGCAAATCAAAGTATATAGATCGTTTGATAAACTAATTCAAGTGGAACTATCTACTACTATTTTTTTTGTTATACATGTAATAAATTTATGTATGTATGCAATTGCTTGCGTGAATTCTGGTTCAATTTAATGAAATGAACTTTTTCACCTAACAATCAACACTACAAAAAGGATTATCTGACGAACTCTGCAATACTTGTAGCATCTATTTTTGTAGACAGTCACAAATCAATAGATGAAGATATATGTCGGCGTCAATTAGTGAAATCCGTCATTCCCTGAAATGCCTAGTCATTTCACGTATTGTCGGCAAACAGCGCAAAAGCGTAACTTCCATTTTCAGCCGTTACTCTGTTTCCCGTAGGGTTGAGGAAGGAAAATATCCTTTCTGCATATGCATAAGAAAGTATATTTTTCAGAAAATTACTTGAGAGAACAGAAGAGACTATTACTGTTTCTGAATAAACAACCTAAGCTGACTCGAACTAAATGAAACTTCCTTCCGTCATTACAGGGAATGCCTGAAACTATTCGGCAAACGGTGTACGAAATTTAGTTAAATGACTAGGCATTCCAGAGAATGACGGATTTCACTGTTTGACGCCGACTTCTTCAAGAAATTAACGCAGCACCAAAGAGCAGCCAAAAGTTGTCCATTTCAGACGTTTTTTGTTTTGAATTACAGGTTATCCCTGCTGAACATTGATGTGTAAACTGTATTCGCATGAAAACCTCTATTTTTATACGTACCGTGCAGCAGCAATCAGTGTGTGTTGTTTTTCATCAAATTTTTAGTACCCTGTAGATTATAATAGTTACACTCTCAAGTTAGAATGCATTTTCTTTTTTGGATTCACTCCATCATCTCTCCTATTACTCAAGAAACGCCATTTTATAGTGAACATGATTGTATAAAAAATTAATATCCAAAAACAACGAAAAATTGAAACAGAATGTGAAGTAACAAGTTAAACGAAAGGGTCAGTAGCGAATATTTCCGCTTCGGGTGAGAATAACTTCTTGGCAAAGACGGCCTATACTTGAAATAAGGGTATTTAAGTTACTTTCCTCTTCTCCCAAGAATGTCCCAGAGATTCTCAATGAGATTTAAATTCGGGCTCCGAGCTGGCCATGCAGTGGTTGCGATACCGACTTCCTTTAGATGATTTCTCACAACTCGGGTGAAGTGACGCCTGGCATATCTTATATCAACAAAAATCCTGATATTACATGTGGTTTCAAAAATCTCAAATATGTACCTTTCAACTGTGGCTTCCATTTATGATCATAAGTTCCATGCCTCCCCAGACCACTTACGTGCTTATAATGCTAATTGAATGGAATAAAATCATGTTATGCTATAAAATTGTGTTTCTGATGTATTAGGAAAGATGATGGAGTAAATCCACAAGAGGAATGTTGAAAATAGATGCGACTGATTTGTAATTTCAATTCTAATTTGATAATATAACTGTTACACATAAAAAAGATATGAATACAGTCTGCACGCCAATATTCAGAAGGAGAAAATCCGACATTCAAAACAAAAAACGTCGATCGAACAAGTAGTTCTGACGAAAATATATCTTGGATACTTTCTTTTTGTTGCGTTAATTTTTCGGTGAAGTGTATAAAAGTATAGTAGTGAATGAACCAGAGACCAGTACAAAGTACAACTCAGAGGACTTGAAATAATGGAAAGCAATGTATTGCTATAAATTTCATTATCCTCTGAAAAAACTTGTAAAGGAACAATTTATTTCGTGTCCTTGGTAATGAAGATTTTTTTTCAATTCTATCAATCTAGTGCACAAGTTTGATGTGAGTAGTTCATCAATATGAATTATATTCAATGATTATCACAGTTTGATAACAAATTAATCATTTTCATATATTCATGGGGACATTATTACAGATATAAGCATGGGTCAAAATTTTGCCCAGTTTTGATTGCCATGGAAACAGGAAGTATTATTTTCAATAACTCCTTACTAGTTGGGTTGAAAAGTGGCTAAATAACTGTAAAATAGATAAATTATTTCGAACGAGGATAAATGATAGCTGTGAATTCTTCTATTTTTTTAGGTGACGATCGTAGGATGTGGGAAACCGAATTCGGAATAAGACACTACGCCGGCTGCGTCACATACAAAATCAAAGGCTTCGTCGACAAAAACCGCGACGTCCAGCAAGACGTCTTCTTCGACATAATATCCAGGAGCTCCAACGAGCTCGTCCAAGAGCTCAACACCTACCAGGACCTGACGACGTCCATCGCTCAAAGGGTGAGCGTCAACCTGAACGGACTGTCGACGGTGTCGCGGGGCACCAGCAAGGGCAAGCCCACCGTTTCGGACACGTTCCGGCACCAGCTTCAGGCGCTGGTGGACGTGTTGCAATCCACGACGCCGTGGTACGTGCGGTGCATCAAGCCGAATATTCACAAGATGCCTGATGACTATGACGATCAGCTGGTGTTGGATCAGCTCAAGTACTTGGGGATGTTGGATATAATCAGGTATGTTCGTTCAGGGGAGTTGATTGTGATGTAGAAACAGTAACAGTGCCGGATTTAGGGGAGGGGGCTATGGGACTATCAGCCCCCAGCGGTGAATTTCAAGAGGCAGTAGAGAAATAGAGAAAAGAGGAAAAACAAGCAGCAATACAGTCGTCTGTACAGTCTGTTTGATGATGAGAAAAAAACCGCATTATACTCAGTAGAGTAGGGGTAATTTCGTGATTCGTCTAAATCAATAACAAAAAAAAATCAGAGTTCAGTATTCAATAGGTTGTCGTTGGTATTGTTGGTAATCGATGGTGAAGGTACTAATAATAAATAAATATTGAAACAGAAATATAAAATAATTAGTATAAAAGAAGGTGGTGTATTCTGTAAACGGCTGGAGATCGAAAAACAAAAGCAATTAGACAGAATCAGAACCGACAAAAACGTCTCCGGGAACTTCACGTTCTCAAGACGGAAATGGTAAGTTTTATATTTTTTTACATTCAATACGTGAAAAAGAAGAGTTAGAATCTCAAAAATAGATGAGCAAAATATGAACACGACTAAGCGTTGTTTTAGGGATAATCACAACAAATTCCTAATTCATTGAATATTGGCATTTACTGAGATTTTCTTTACTATCACTGATGATTAGTAATGCCAGTGGTGAAAGGTCATTCTCAACTTTAGAAAGAGTGAAAAACTACCTTAGGAATTCCATGGTAGAGGATACATTGAATATCTGATCAATTTCAAGTATTAACAGTGACATGTTATTAAATCTGGATTTTGATGATGCCATTTGACGACATTGCATCAAAACAATCAAGAAAAGTATTTTAGCATTCATCTGAAAAAAAAAGTTGTTTGTTGTTATGTTTAACGTGAAGTAAATATAATTTGATTCGTTGTACATACTGATTTCATGTTATCGTTATATGCTGTAAAAAAAGCAGTGAAAGGATTATTTGAATTTTGAAACTGACAAAGAAATTTAATATTTGGCGGCGGCGCTGAACAGTAATAATGCCTACCTTGAAATTGACGCTGCTTATTATGACAATTCTTGGACTTATTTCAATATGCCGTTGTTTCTTTTCTTTTTATCTATTCAGGAATAATGAAATGCTCAAAAATTACTAAGATGATGACACTTAAACTACTTGCGTTTCAAAAAGCGAAAACCGTAGGTAATGTAATTATTGCATTTTTGGAGAAAGTGTATCTTCACTAGAATGAAAATAGGTAGCAGTAGCGGTATTTTGTGATATGTCTGACTAATTTGATTTCATGTGTCATGAAATTTAGCAATGGTTTTGGTTCTACCTCACTGGCCGAATACAAAGTGTATTGGTGAATGCATATTTCTGAAATCGATACTACCAAACTGAATATTTCTGGAACATTCACTCTGTTTTCCTGATGACACTATTATTCTCTGGCACAATAATGATTCTTTGAAACTTGCAGATCAAATTGAATCACTCAGAAGAAGGGAATAATCACGAATTTTGGGAAAACAAAAAAACTGTGTAACTCTTAGACGGTTTATTCTATGTGAAGTCCATTCACAGGAAAGTTTTAGGATGTGGTATAATGGAATCATTGAAAGTCTAGTTTCCCTCAATTTCAGTATGGCCAAGAGATATAAGGGATGGAAATGAAGTTATCCCTTTATTCCATTATATTTTTATGTAATTTTCATTTTTCACCCATTTATTGATGAAAATGACAAAGGAGAATAATGTGTCAATAGCAAAAAACTGAACAGCTAATTTTAACAGGCATCGCATGATCGTTGTGCGCATTCAGTGGAAAAAGGGAATTATTTCAAACAGATTTCATATAATATAATTCCCTTCTTCCACTATACGATATTTTGTTCGCCAGGCAGTGCATTTAAAAGTAGCACGATTGTTCCCTTCTTTGGCTAGATTCATGTGGACATATCCAAAGAACAAAATGACTTTGATAGTTCAGTTTGGCCTGAAATGGTAATTATTCCCTTCTCTTAAGCGATTCAATTGACTTCTGACAACTACATCAAGGTCATGAAAGAATGATATGTTGCGAATTCGTTTCTTATGAATAATAATCACAGAATTATATAGTGGTGAATGAATCAGAAAAAAATTTCAAAGTACAACTCATAGGAGTTGAAAAAATTGAAAACAATGTATTGCTATAACTTTCATTATCCTCTGGAAAAACTTGTATAAGGAGCAATTTATTTCGTGTCCTTGGTAATGAAGATTTTTTTCAATTCAAAAGTAGCACAATTGTTTCCTTCTTTGGCTAGATTCATGTGGACATAACCAAAGAACAAAATGACTATGAAAGTTCAGTTTGGCCTAAACTGGTAATTATTACCTACTCCTAAGCGATTCAATTGACTATTGACAACTACATCAAGGTCATGAAAGAATGATATGTTGCAAATTCGCTTCTTATGGATAATAATCACAGAATTATATACACTAATAATATATCAAAAACAAATCTGGTCACTTTTGTGAATTGAAAATAGAGAAAGTAATGTCAGGTGATGAATTGTTTATAAATGCTCTTACCAAAAAAATTATCTCTTGGTTTTTGTTTTGCAATCATAATAATTTATACAGAAATAGGTACACATGCTGTGAAATCCACGTTGTTCGTATCTATTTCTCTGCTCCGAACAGGCGACTCATGCAAACCAATTTTCGAAAATAATAAGATCCTGATTATTTTGGAAATACTTATAGTGTTGTTTTGTTATTCTTGGAATTATTCCCTGAGATGTCTTTGATTTCCTTTTCCTGGATTTCTTTGAAACTGCTATAATTTACTTGATGTTTTCTGAAATTATCTTGGATTTCCGTATTAATTTCAATAAATAATTATTTTTTTCAGGATCCGTAAAGAAGGCTTCCCGATTCACATGAGCTTCGAGGATTTTGTCATGCGGTATCATTGTCTTTCCAAAAATCGTCTTCCACCTGACATGATCAAAGCTTGTCAGAATCTCATAGAAAGTCACAATATACCAAAGACTGAATGGCAACTGGGCAAAACCAAAGTTTTTATGAGATCTCACATACATGAACCATTAGAAGAAGCCAGGAATAATCTAGTCAGGTATGACTTTGATGATTCAAAAGATATCGTCAAAATATTTAATGAAATTCAACATCATATAGATATTGATCTGCTGCAATCTGATTTGAATAACTTCAATGTTTGGTCTAGGGTTAATTATTTGGACCTCAATGTTTCAAAGTGATAACTAACTTTTAAAAGTCATATTACTAAGGTAGTGAACACTGCTTCAAGGAACTTAGGGGTCATCACTAGGAACAGTAAACAATTCTATCCTGAAATACTTAGTTCACTTTAGGGCAGTCTAAGTAAATTCAAAACTAATGTTTTGAAAATAATTATGAATACCTAGTTGATGTAATGAGTATAACTTGAGTGTAATTTTCATTGCTCCTATAAAAATGATGTAACTGTTGAAATAAATAAATAAATAAATAAATTTAATGATTTCTCAGATCACGCGCCATCCTCATCCAAAAAACCTACAGGATGTACGCCCAAAGAAAAGAGTACACGAAAATTCGACGCGCCATCCTCCGAATCCAGCACGCCTATACAGGCTGGCGCATGCGCATCGACTTTTTGAGGCGCAGGCGCGCCGCCATCGTCATCCAGAGCCACCTGCGCGGCGTCTTTGCCAGGGAGGTGAGTTTCTATGGAAGATTGAATAAGATCAGTCTTGTGATACAGGTTGTCAACAAAATTGGTGCAATAAATAAAATGGGGTTTTCACACATATTTTTTTATTGATTGATTGTCTTTATTACCCCAAGAAACATAGTTCTTTATAATAGGGATACATAAACAATATACATAATGTTATACATACAATTATGAAATAATGATGAGATATAACAAGTAAAAAAAAGCAAATAATCATGCAATATCAACCTTGTCTTTTATAAGAAGATATTCAAATAAGAAATGAAATTATCAAAGTCTCTGAAGCAGATATTTTTTCAAGTTGAATTTCAATCTAGTTGCTTCCTGTATATTCCTCAATTGACTTGGTAATGAGTTGTATAGAACGATTCCTGTGTGAAAAATGGATTGTTTGCCGATATTTGACTTATACGTATTTGCAATTAGTGAATTTGATTGTTTTGTTCCATGATTATGTAATGAATTAATTTCATTGAAATTTAAATTCGAAATTTTCAATTTATATAGGACAAATTGAATAAAACAACATATTCTAAGTTTATATAGTGTTGTCAGATCTAATAAATCTCTAGGCTATTTCTTCAACATGTTGCCTCCAAATCTGAAGTCATTGCAAGGTACCAACATTTTTGAAGTGCATTTAAAAACATATAGTCTAAGATCCGAACCTAAATCGACCTTCACCGAGCTGATAATAGAACGAAATATATTTTATCATGAATTTAGTATATTAGAAAACATATTAAAAATGGGTTCGCTAAAAAAATCCTGGGCAGACTATTTTTAATTATTTTTCGAAAAATGATTTTTAATTAAATGTTGCAACATCAGGATAATAAAAAAAATTTGTCCTGACTGAAAGTATAAAACGTATAGAATGTGCAGCCGTTGGGTTGTCTACTATTTACCTGGGCGAACTACTGGGTTGTCAGGTAAACACAGGTATATCGATGCCAGTTACTGTCACTGGATTGGATAATTTAAAAAAATGTATATCATCATAAGCGCTGTTTAATTGCGAACATGTTGATATAGGGTTGTCTGCGAAAATTCCGGTCCTATTAGGGGTTTGCGAATTTTAAAGATTTTAATTTCAACGCGCGTGGAAGTGTGTGACAGAGAGATCCGAAATAAGTATACTGTGTAATAATAAAGGACCCAACATCGCAGTCGCTTGTGATGGGACCCTGAATAGTAGAAAGTGCGCATGCTCGGTGTGTAAACTATGGAGGGTAGAGGTACCTCTACTATCCTTCATATCTTCATATAGTAAACAGTGCGTGTTATTTCGGAGTAGCTTAATGACTTATAATATTATATTGCATCGAAAACTGTTTACTATATGAAGGGTAGTAGAGGTACCTCTACCCTCCATAGTTTACACACCGAGCATGCGCACTTTCTACTATTCAGGGTCCCATCACAAGCGACTGCGATGTTGGGTCCTTTATTATTACACAGTATACTTACCTCGGATCTCTCTGTCACACACTTCCACGCGCGTTGAAATTAAAATCTTTAAAATTCGCAATCCCCTAATAGGACCGGAATTTTCGCAGACAACCCTATATCAACGTGTTCGCGATTAAACAGCGCTTATGATATACATTTTTTTTAATTATCCAATCCAGTGAAAGTAACTGGCATCGATATACCTGTGTTTACCTGACAACCCAATAGTTCGCCCAGGTAAATAGTAGACAACCCAACGGCTGCACATTCTATACGTTTCATACTTTCAGTCAGGACAATTTTTTTTTATTATCCTGATGTTGCAACATTTAATTAAAAATCATTTTTCGAAAAATAATAAAAAATAGTCTGCCCAGGATTTTTTTAGCGATAAAATATATTTCGTTCTATTATCAGCTCGGTGAAGGTCGATTTAGGTTCGGATCTTCTACTAATATCTATTACACCATGCTTTTAACTGTCTTGACGAATATGTCCAATTAAATAATTAATACTGTCATATTTTTTATCCTGCATAATCTTCATATATTCATGTATTCACATTTCTTATTAGTCCTGGTCCAAAACTTGTTTTTACATTTTTGATTTTTTTTTTAAATATTTTATTACCCCTATATTACTTACAACTTGAAGGACCTGTCTCATGTTATGTAAATAATCAAAATAGTATAATAAAAGTATCTGTCTATTTATCTATCATGATCACACAATAAATAGCAAGAAAAAATGATGTTGAGAGCTATCGAAAAATGTCAAAAAAATCATTATTGAACTTGCCATAGTTTGGGAAGCACTGGTTTGATTCCCCAGTACGCGCTTTCGTGTATTTCCGCACTGTTACCATAATCAAAATATCCATTACATGCACAATGCAGAAATAAAACTAAAATGTGTTTATTGTTATTAACGTTACAAGGCCTATATGTAGCAAATAACGGATTAGGTTGAATATTGTAATCCGAGGCGCAGCCGACGACCGGTTGGGGGGCGAAGTTACTATGATACTCTGTGTGAGGTGATTTTTTGATAACAGAAATGAAAAGGTCATCAACTGATCGTTGTTATCGTCTTCAGACTTTTTTTCGCATCTTCAATAATAATGGTGGGGGAAGCTTGTGAACAAAATTATTTTCAGTATCTTCCATACGGTTAGTTTGATTCGAAATGCCTCCTCCTACCACCCCACTTCTTTTGATCCATGACTTATGGGCACCCTGCATAATCTGCACTTGGAATATTTCAATGTTATTTTGAGACACCCTGTGTCAGGGGCAGCTGCAACAAAGATAGCATGCTTTACGGTAACCTGTCTTTCCTACTCGTGTTGTTTAATGTTGGATTGGTGTTTACTTTCTTTTATCTAATAATCAAAGTACTTTAGATTGTTTTCTGTCGTCAAAACAGGCAAGAAAGTGAAGACATAAGTTCATTGTCTTTGTTTATGTGGAATATCTATTCATTTGGCGTGTTTTGTTTTATAAAAAGGACTGAATTTGTTGGTGTGAACACTGTGAACTGATTGTTGAGAAGGTTTTGATAAACAATGGTGATTTTTATTGTGTCGCCTTTGGATGCAAGAACGAGCAAGACCAAAGGAAATTTTCATTCCATGGGTAAGTTGAATATTGTTCAGATTTTTGGAAAATATAGTCCTTGAAATGATTATCAGTTAGGTGTACAAAGTTCCTAGTCTCAGAATATGTTCAAAAACTATACCTATATTATTTGTCAAAGTTGAATACTTCCATGACTTTTCCATAAACATATTGAGTAATATTATTTGTTGCAGTTTTTCATTTAGACAATCTTGAAATATGGATTAAGGCAGTTCATAGAGAGTGTTGGACTCCATCTAAAACCAGCAAGCTTTGTGGAGAGCATTTCCTGCCAACTGATTATTTATTTAGATATACCAGGTACTGCTAGGTTATTGAAATCAGATGCTGTACCCAGTATATTTCCATTTCCTAAGCATTTGTTACCAAAAAATACTGATCCTTGAAGGAAAATAAGAAAACTCATAGGTACCTAGTTGATTAATAATGAAAAAAAAAAAAGTATGTTTGCATCACTTTATAATAGAAAACTAACAAGTAATTTATTTTCAGGATGCATCTGTGGAAGTTCATATAACATTGGGTCCTAAAGAAGATGTTTCTCATATTAGGGATTTTACCTATGACTTCCAGCTCCCAAGTTTCGAAGTTCATCAATAAAGAAACCCAAACTGTTCCATTGGAGAAGGATATTGTATTGAGAATTGTATTTTTTAAATTAAAATAAAATAGGAACCTATCGAAATTATGCTCAAAATGGACCTTAGGTAGTCAATAGCATTCAAGAACCTCTATTCAAATTTTTTCAATCGTTTTTCTTTTTCTTCTGATAGTGCTAAGACATTGTGCTCCACTCACCCTGTACAATATATCGTGACATTTGAATGAAAATATATAATTTCAATTTTGTATTCATTTGGCTTCCTAATCCTGTTAGAATAAAATTGAAATTTCATTTTTAAGTCAATAAAAAAAGCAGTTATAATTTTTTAATGGTAATTGATTGCAACATTTTCCTTTCTCCTATATGAATATTTCTATTCAATTACGTTTACTCTTGAATAAAGGCAAAAAACGAGAAAATATTTCAAATAATGCGAGCGCTTCCCATTAGCGAACATAAGATAGAGAGAGATAGGTATCCGTAAACACTGCGGTTTGCCTGAACAATATTTTTGCCTCACTCCAGTTGTTTATATTGAGTTCATTGGTTGATAGGTGGCGGCCGCGTTGAGGGAGATGCGGCGCGTGGAGGAGGAGATGCGCAAGCGGGAGAAGATGGAGGAGGAGCGCAGGCAGCGCGAGGCGGAGAGGAGGGAGGCGGAGGAGAGGAGGGCGGAGGAGGAGAGGAGGATAGCAGAGGAGGGTGGGGATGGGGGATTGTTGCCGCCGCCACCGCCGCCGTCAGCGTTTGGCGAGGAGGATTTGGATAGGAGCGAAAAGTGAGTCGACTTGTATAGAGCATTTGAACATTAATGTACACATTCTTCATCTCTACTCTTAGTCTAATCAAACTGTAGTTTAGGGTGAAAAGATCTGGTGTAATTGTTTTCAATGGCTTATTCCTTTTCTTTGATGTGCTCAACACGAATCTAAAGTTGTCCACCAAAAATTCCATCGGCAAATATCAGAAAAAAATATGTTTTCTAATGGTTTTCAGCTTTCAACTCTCAAAGGAAGCCGTCCACACAAAAAATGAACCGGTAAAGGAGGAAAAAGTATCTACAATTTATGTCCCATGATACTTTTCGAAATGTCATTTGGTTTTCATGCAAAAGAGTGTTGAAGTTTTAGTGGAATCAGTGAATTTTGGAAAGAAATAAAAGAGTTGACTAATTTATAGTTTTCATTCCATATAGATGGACATCTCACTGTCTAATGGGATTATTTTCCTAGATGGCTCTATGGCTTCTCCAGAGCAGCTTTCAAGTTTCTCTACGCCTGTAACAAATAATCATTGACCTATTTCAATAATTTCAACAATATATCAATTAGATATAAAAGTATTACCTATTAAGAATTTCTTTGCCATTTTTATACATTAATGTGTCTAATCGAGACGTCTTTTCTTTACACCTGAAACGAATAAGAAAATTAATTGCAAAGGAGTACTCGACTTATTTATCGTTATTGATTAATGATCGATAACACAAATAAATTGGGGGAGGAAAAATGAAGGTGCGAAAGAATTATTCATGTAGTTACCTTCAAGCGGATTAGAAAACTCCGAATCATCCTCTACTTATTTTTCTATTTCTGCAACGGGCAATGGTTTTTTTCGAACCCTATTGTTCGGGACCTTTTTTGTTTCCGAGCTACTGTTACACTTGAAGTATACCCCCAAAGAATGTTGTTGTGTTGCAGCTTCCGTAGAAAGTCAGGATGCCAAATTTGGAGAAATTTAATTTTTCCAACTTTGAACCTAGGCCGAGGTTGTGCCACATCCTCCCATGGCATCTAAGAACAGTATATTGTCACGTATGGATTGCTCTGGTGTTCTGGTGTACAGTCAGTTGAAAATATGAGTGGCGAAACTAAAAAAAAATTGTTCTAAAATTCTTGTTCGCTCAGCATATGTAGTGCCATCTTGGGGGTAAGCATCGAATAGGAATACTGCACAGTTTTGGTACTTGGACTTGACAAATGCAACATAACTTCCATAAATTGATAAAAATGATTGCTCCCTTGTCCACAAGACCTTGTGAAGCAGATATTCCCCACCTATGACCTACACACACCCTTGGAGATTTCTTCAGTTGATGTAAATGCTTTGTATAAGGCAGACTTGGTTCCTTTTCTCGTTCCATAGTCATTAAAAAGAGGCAACGGATAAGGGCACAGTTGATATTTCGAGTTCTTTGTCAAATTGTTCAGCAGTTGTGATTCTTTGAAAAATAGTCGTAGGATTAATCGGAATGGTTTCATTACTTATTTTGATTGTATTTTCCATCATAGCAAGTGATGAAACTCTTCTTTCCTGTAGAATTTGACAGTTTCAAAATCACCGCCCACAATCCTATCAATTCCGCGAAGTCCCATCTCCTTGGCCATGTGATAGTTCATGGTGCTGTCTCCTACAACCCCTGTGGTTAGAATCTGTTGAATATAATTGAAGGAATAAACTTTTAATATTCATGGTTTCTCCTCATCATTTTGAATTCCATTGGGAATGCACAACTCTTTTGCATGGAAACCAAATGACATATCAAAAAGTATCATGGGACACAAATTGTAGATAATTTGTATTTCTTGATTTTACTACTGGTTTATCTTTTGTGTGAACGGCAAAAGCATGATTTTTTGTGCTTTCTTGGTATTTCCTGATACTTGCCGATGAAATTTTTGGTGGACAATTTCAGATTCGTTTCGAGTACATTAAAGAACATACTATAAACCACTAAAATTGATTACACGAGAACTTTCCACTTCAAGCCCTTTTTGTGCACGATTTGATTGAACATGTCCTGGTACATTCATAAGAATATGAACTGTTTTTTTTTCTACAATGGAGACATTCACTCAACTAGGCGTACCTTCATTTCGCTAGATTATTTGGGATTTTGAGTTGAGTATTATTTCAATATGTGTGTAGTACGACAAATCAGATGATTTGCCCCAAGATCACTGCTTTTGAAAATTGACTAAAAGAATGTGAAAGGCCAACAGATTTTTGCCGATGAAGTCATTTCCCTAGCAAAGAAAACATTGGGCCAATAACTTCCCGGTTGTTCATTGTTTGTTGGGAAGTAGTTGGAACCGTCTGAAGTTGTTTTTATTATTTTGGAGAACATCGAATTTGGGATTGGGGGTGATTAACAAAATTACAGCTCGACAAATGGCCTACCTTGACTTTCGTTCTATCCCAAGTTGTGTAGGTTTTCCAAGCTGTTCGAGGTTGCAACCACCAATCTCCTGCTTTCTGGAAAGTGGTCTGTATTTCTGGGATGATCTCACACAATAAATATCCATTGAGAGAGGTTTTGAATTCGATTGAGGAGGTATATTGCCAGGTTTTGATATCTTACGCAACGCACTGGTACCTGGTCCGAGCGTGGAGAGGTACTGCTTTTTTCCTGCCGAAACTGGCACACGTTCGGTCACTTTGCAGAATTTGACTATATTTCGCGGAATATTCGAGAATTGGGATACAAGGCGAATAATATTCTCAATTGACAATCACAGAGATAATAATGTAAGAAATTTTGTAATAATATGATTTTGCATGGAAAGAAAATTAATTTTAACTATAGATACTAGATAACTTGACTAAACTAAAGAGGTTGGGTGTGAACAGAGAGCCTAAAAGAAAAATCCAATCGTTTGTCAGTGACACTTCGTTTCGAAAACTGTTTGTAGGCATAGATATGTACAGAGTGACCCATTTGAAAGCGGGTCACCCTTTCTTTCTTCGGAAATGTAGAGGGGGGAAAGGTGTATTTTGGAGCAAAACTGCGTCCATTTTCTCCATCTGTACCAAGTTTCATGAGAAAACATTCATAATTTTGGGGACCAGTATAAATGACCATCAATAAGTGTTGTGCTTTTTTATTGAAATAAGAAAGGGTCAATTTTGAGAAATCATATTAGAAATTATTTTGCAAGAAAACTGCATATCACTTTTCCTCATGCTTTCGAACCTCCGTGAGCAAAAATTAACCTCATTCCAAATGGATAGCATTGCATTCATTTTTTTCTATTTCAGGATCATAAACATGGTGAATTCAATTAAAATGCAAATTTTGGAACCTTCAATAGGTGGAAAATCGTGATTTGAGAGAATAGTTTATTTATTTATTTATTTATTTATTCCAACAAACAGGTTTTACCCCAATTACATGTTGTGTGTGTATGAATGGTTGATTGAAGTAGTACTCCATTTTCTGCATCAATCACAGTAATGATACTGTTTTTCCAAAAAATACAGTACTAGTCCAAACAACCTGACTAAAATCTAACTTAAATCTAATAATATATACAAAGTATTAACCAAATAAGAATAATTATTGAATTATTTGTATTACTAGGCAGAAAAGTACAAGATTTAATGCCGCGGTACCTTTTCAGGATGGCTCAACAGGAAATCGCGACTCTGACCCACATGGCGGAGCAGCTGAAGCACAACAGGCCGGAGACGGCCGCCGAGTCTGTCGATCTCGACAACCTGTTCGCCTTCCTGTCCGATGTGCAGCCGGCCAATCACAACCAGATCATCGACGAGATCGGCGAGAAGATGGACGAGCTAATCGAGGATTTGGACGTCGAGCTAGAGACGGTCATCCAGCAGGAGCTGGAAGGCTTAGCGCAGGTAAACGATGGCATCGCAGGAAGTAGATCAGTGGCGTGTTGTCCATATCCCTTGCCCGAAAATCAGAATCATCATCTAGATCATTTTTATAATGTAGTGGTTATGTAATTATCTGTATCCTCTTGATTCAGTGCTAAATGTTTCAACTCAGTTGTCATTTTGGAATAAAAGAATAGAAGGGACGATCATGGCCCCCAGCCGCGCGAACCGATCACATTCTACCCACCGATGGAAGCTGTTTTTAAAAGCATATGCGTGTCCTGGATTTCTGATTGTATTAATTTTATTGCTCTGTTGGATCTATTTTTGTGTAACTAATAATAACTGTCAGATGATCAATAGGGTATTTCTTTGATTTCTCACCCGTGTTATATTGAAATTCCCGTTAAAGTCAATGCGGACGTGGAAGCTGTGGGCAGTAAGCTTCAGTCAACAAGCGGAGGTATACCGAATGGATGCGATGGCTCGTCAACGTTTGCAAATACGATTGTTCTATGAAAAGTTACTACTTTTTGCACTCTTCAGTGTGTAAGAAATTTGAAGAAATACTTCAATCCTGTGATTATGAGTGCAATCTGAAAATTGAGAATTACTGATATTTATTGTATTTGTGAGTTACTCTCAATAAAATTTTGAATAAAAATGAATTCAATTCGATTGTAGAAAGAATTTTGGGTGCAACATGTGCAAATGCATATTTGTTGCACTCATGACTCATGATTGTAGCTCTCAACATCGTCTAAGGTAAAAACTTTTTGCACTAGTTGCACAAATAACTATTTCATATTTTTGTTACTTCATCAAAAATGAATTGCTGCATCAACTATTGAAGAAGTAATATGAAGTTTGTAATTATTGGAAATGGATTCATACTCTAGAGACAAACATATTTGAATTCTTATTTTCAACTTCCAGTGACTAAGCTGACCATGAAAAATTAAAAAAAAATTGCCCGCGGTGCAGTTTTGGTTATATTTTAGTCCCAGCTTCCCCTGGTACGAAACTCACGACACACCACTGAAGTAGATTAGTAGATTTACTGAGTGTCTGGTAAAGCATGAATCATGCTCTAGCTGGTGATGAACAAGTTTATAAACCTATCAGAAAATCACAACTTGACCTCTAACGGGTTTCGAGGTATTAGAGTTGGTATATAAATGAATAAAAAAATATATAAAAAACTTTCCAAAGACAAGCTTTTATACAAATGCACTAAAAAGGAAAAAGTAATTTCTTTCCTGTTTGATCTAGGTTAGGTTAGGTGCTTCGAACATCTCACTTAACGCTCTTTGACACAGTTGACATGTTTTCAAACAGCTTAACAAAAAACATGAGATGCAAATATGTTTTATAATAGATGGAATATCATTTTTTTGTACCCCTTCATTGAACGAGTGCAGACATATTATTATTTGAAACCCTAACATTGGCTCAAAGGCACATAATGCTCATTGTGTAGTTTTATAAATATTTTGTTAATGAATGTATTTCCATGAAATGAATATTGGAATTTGAAGCTTCAACTAACACTTGAAATGTTGTCACGTCTTTGGGCAACTCAAATAAATGTTAACGATCAATCTTTGAACTTTTGCAATTCGTTACGGAACAATATAAATTTGAAAACATTTTCGCGGGGACGCCTATTTAATGTTCAAAACTGACGTTTTAAACCTGAGAATGACAATTCGGAAATGTCAGTGGTGACAAGCGTGTCCACACTCTTAAAAGATGTTCAAGGCACTTTAATCTAGGTTATTCAGATGTCAAGTTCTGCCAATTCTGTCTGTCTATCAAAAGAAGAGAATATTCATTTATCTATTTCATACTCCCTTATGCCTTTTTCATTATATGTATATTGCTGAATGAGGAGTTGTAATTTATAGGTGAATTGAGTTAATCATTACATTAACCTTTCCGACGGAGTAGACCACTGACCTGGACTTATCTGATCGTCTCCTTTCTTCTGAAAAACATGACAACTGGATCTGGATCAATGGTACAGAATTCCAAATTCTCATCACCTTCAGTTTCATTTCAATCATTTCAGTCACAAGATTCAGAAGGAAAGAACAACACTATACTCAATAGTTTTATTGGGAAATTTTTAGTCTAAAATTGTTTCAATTATGTCAACTAGAAAAATTTACGTTATACTCTCCTCATATTACTAATTAGCCTTTCCAGTCATTTCTAAAAAAAATATATCTCGAAATATATGACTTTGGTGTACCTTAAAATAATTTTACGAGATTTTTCTCCATCAGTTCATCGCCTAAAACATTATCGAAAACGCCATAATGACCGAGCGAATTCAAACAATCTAACATGGCCGCGAAACGTGTGACGTAAGTGTGCTGGCAATTTGGATTTGTAAAGCCATCACCTCCTAGCGGGTGCCAATAAAATGTACAATGCACCAATTTGGACAGAAACCTATGATTAGTCGGATATTCATTTTGTTTTTTATATTCAGCAAATAATACAGATGCTTTTATACTTTTTATGTAGGTATAGGTTTTAATAACTACCTGAAAAGTCGTGGTACTGACAAATTGCATTGCATAATTAGTTAGATGGTTGATTTCTGTTGGTGGATTATTCAAAACTATTAAGTGGAATTTCATTTTGTATTGAATTACAGTGCAGATAATCAACTTTAGGTACTCACCTTTACATATACGTACCTACCTATGCCTACCTATCATAGAGGATGGAACAAATTTTGAATCGATCAATACTGAATTTCTTCTTGGTTCTATTTTCTATTGATTTAAGTACAAGCACCACTGCCTTGTTGTCCATAATATTGAGAAATAAGAGCAGTGAAGTTATGCGGAGAATGTGGTATTTTAACTTGGCAACATTGTGTTAGCGCCAGTTGCTTCATCTCTTTCTCTCATGAACATAGTTGCCACAGTAGCAATTGAATTTTCCGGTAATGATAACTTGAGATATAGTTACACTGTTTAATTTGTTTATAACAATTAGTCAACAAAATAATAACAGCATACGCATAACACTCAAGCGTCTTACTGTTAAATGCCTGAATGGCCTGCATCACATTTTATACTAGCTAATCTTGCAACTAATGGAATATTTCGGAGTGAATTCAACGTGATCAGCAGTGAATTACCAATCAACTAATCACCTATTACATAGCACATAATTTCAAATCATGGCATTCCTTGCATCATCTTGCACATAAGATCAATTCAAGGATTTCATAGAGACCTGGCAACAGCGGCGTGCTTCCCAACCGTCACAAACCATCCAAACTAATTGCTAGGAGACACTTGACATCACAGCTCAGTAGCGTTTGAATCCACAGTTATTGAAATAGCATTTTCAATATTGAATAGTTCATTTGTTGTTCGATTTTCTTGATGAACATGTCACTAGGATAACGTTTTTGACTTCGCTTCATAACATAGCGAAAAACGGCCAAATTTTACGATACCTCTCCCTACCCTCCCTACGTTCGCACGATGTTTTTCGAACATTATAGGGGTTCTCTTTCGTGCACTCCGAGCGATAAAATCCTCACTCCGTTTGTCGTAATCCAAACAACTTTGATGCAGCAACATGCCATTCATATAGGACTTAGGTAAACAATTTACAATAAATTGCCTTCTCCTTTGAAAAAAATCAGTTTTTTGGATTCAAGAAAAAAATTAAATCATGGTTGATTGAGAATTCAGAAATTTTGGAAATTTGATCATATGATGAAATACTTATGCAACATAATATATGTTGTTTTATAGTTATGTTGAAATAATATAAAAATGTATTTATTATGTTAATTGTACTGAATGAGAAAATGAATTTCAGTTAGTCAGTGGAAGGAAAATAATATTACATGATCATGGAAAAGTTTTCAACTTCTTTGATCATGTTTATATTATAAAAAAGTATATTATTATTAATATAGTACGCTGATATGAATGTTATTTTGAAAAAAAATGAAAAAAATAATGATACACTTCAGGAACAACAACAGCCGACCCCGCCCAAGCTGGGCCTGCCCACGCTGCCCGAACCCACCGGCCCGCCGCCGCCTCCGCCGCCCCCCGCCTTCCAGAACGGCCATCAGGACGACAAGCCGACGATCGTCGGCGAGATCCCGAAGGCGGCCAGCGACGAGCCCATCTACGAGGCGGTGCTGCCGCGCGAGGAGGCGGCTCCGCCGGTGTGCGTGTCGCCGCCCCCGCTGCCCGCTCCGCCCCGCCTGGGGGGAGGGACGCCCGAGGGGACGCCCGCGGTGTCGAGGTCGAACAGCGGCGTGGTGAGTATCAAATATTTTTCCTTAATGGTATTGACACTCTTGTTTTGACGTTTATTGTATATTTAGGGTATGGTTTCTCGACAAGTAGTGACGTTTGAGATGATCTTATAAATAGAGTGACGACAATGATGTACACTTTTTGATTGGTCAGACCTCTAATATGGAGGTGCATCGACCTGTCTTGCTTTCTCCATTCAGTTCTATATGCATTCTTTTTCACTTTGTCATTGCTTTGTCTCTGTTTTTTGCTCTTTGGACACAAAACATCCATTAATCCGACATGAAACTCTATAGTCAGCACCTTGAATATTAACTATAAGAATTCGTTTTTTGGATATCGGAAGTCTCACATTATTCAGATGATGAAATGAAAATATCAAATTTCTACACCTACCATCAGGTGGGCACTTTGAAGGCCCAAATTCATTGCATGGGAGATACCTTTCAGATTTTTTACTATTCAGTGACTTGACCACAAAAACGGCAGCCTTTTGAAGGTCTATTATCGTCACCCTATGTAATCTACTCACTCTAGTGACGATACGACATAACCACTAATTATTTTGAAGCAGCTTGTGATATGTGTTGCCAAACTAATGAACATGTTGATCGCTCAGATAAAGACTTCTCGTACCTTCCTTCCTCTACATGTTCAGAGAAGAGTACATCCATATATATTCCTTTGTCTTCCATGTTTGAATCAGATTGCATGGCGTCTCGTCCATCCAGCATAACGACCAGAACATTGGTAGGAATTTCAGACTCTGATAAATGTTTCAAAGCCAAGAATTGAAGAAGACGCTACATTTCAGGTGTGATTGCCGTTTCATGCAAATAGAGACACCAGTCTCATTCATAGGAATGAAAATTATTTTAAATATAAAGTTCAAAGTTCGCTGCGATGGTAATTCTTATCAAAATTTCAATAAAGCATAACCAGATGAATCACACGTAAATTTTATGACCAACGCTTTTTCTAAAACTTTTTGCATCCCAGCTATAACCATTAAATTCTGAATTTAGAGATAACTATTAATTTCCATTAGCACCATTAGCAGCATTTGAATCAGATTTGAAAATCCAACCTCAAATGTATGAAAAGTTTCATTTTGTGCAGTTCTGTGGCTGACTAGGATAAGACTGATGAACCTACCATATACACGTTGGTCCAGAAGTTGCACCTGATATTTCTGGGGTTGATTATATGTATGATGAATATCGGCTTTTTTCTTCACTTTATTCTGACAGTCCTGGAATTTTTGATTTGAAGAATTTTGATTCGAAAGATTTATTTCGCTCTCGCTAGTTTCACATATAAATTTACAATGATATATGAGTATATTAACAAAGTATAAATTCTTGAAATAACTAGTTACTATATAAGCTATACTAAATCTTAGAGTAATCTTTTCGTAACATAAGTTTGAACATTTCAATATTTGGTGCTACTTTGACAATGAGTGGAAGGCTGTTGAAATGATGGAATCCCTGGACGAAGAGATTTTTGTAAAACATTCAAGTGACATCTTCCTATATGGAAATTTTCATTTGACCTTGAAATATTGCAGATATATAGGAGCCTGTTTGTTTACGATTTTGTATATCAGTAATGAATTAGATTCTTTGATCATTTGTTCAACATTCAGAAATTTCAGCATCCTAAGCATATCTGTAATCTTTGTGTGTCTATCACATTTAAGTAATATTCTCATACACTTATTTGGCAGCTTTTGAATTCTCTGTACATGACTTTTCGATCATGAGATGAGTAAAGACATACTTTATTGAAAATGTGGATAAATATTGGTATTATATAGTACTCTTCTAGCCCAAAATGTTAGTTTTTTCGATATTCTTCCATAATATCCAAATTTTTTTCCTAATATTTTACAAATATTATTCATTTGTGACCCAAAGTTCAAATATGAATCTACCCTTACCCCTAAGTCTTAATCTCCTGGCTTGTTTATTAATCATCAGCTGAAACTGCATGCTATCTGACTGACAGATAACATAGACTAATTATGAAAGTTAATTTTGACACTATAAAAATATTATTTTCCTTCAGCACCCCAATTGGAGATACTCCCAGTCCCACGACAACCAACAACATCAACTCCAACCGTCGCAAGACCTGCAAGGCAACACCGAGAGAGAGCAGAGACGCAAATTCCGCGTGGAGAAGAAACTCCAAGAGCTGAACGACAACACCGAAAAGGACAATTCGCACGTCGACGAATTGCACCACGACATGGTCGAATTCGCCAACAACTATTTCAACGCTCACGAAAAGAGCCCGGAAGGGACGATAATCGCGACGTTGACCAGGAAGAGGCAGAGCTCCGAGTTGATTCCCAAATACGAGATGGTGACCTACTACAAGGGGAACACGATACCCAACTCGCACATTCACCTTTACGATCCCGATAATGTCAATGTCGCTTGCAGCATATTCAGGGTAAGAATACCAGTCAGTTTTTTCACTAGCAAGCGATATCATTTGAACTAATTTAGTATTCAGAAGTCGTCTAAAAAGCAATAGGAACAGTGATTCGAAAAAATCAAAATATTTTGAATTACCAAGTGATTTTCTTGTCCAAAATCTTCCGACACTTCGAATATTATTTGGAGCTGTGTACACGACCTATATAAAAAAACATAGGATATGATGTTGAGTAGGTGGATCACACACAACCTACAGACTCAAGTGAATCATCTAGAATTATCAGTTATTCTAAAAAAAAAAACATCCATTGGGAAGTAACCACGATAGTAACAACACAAATAAGCTCATAACTATGTCATTTGTGTCAAGCTTTCCCGGGCCATCGTATGAAGTCTAAACTTCTACCGTCTTTCAGTGCTCCTTTCGCATGTTTTTTTTTTGGCAATATAAAATTAATATTCTGAAAACTATTCATCAATTTCATTTTGTATTCTTGTGATAATTAAATAACAGAAATTTGAACACGAAATGTCACATTTTTATGAGTTCGTTGTTGTTCAACTTATGAACATGCAACGAGAAAGTGTTACTTGAATCTATATGAACAATATACTTACTATTTATTTTATATAAAAAAGGGTATACAAACAATCTAATCTTACACAGCCAAGTATTCCAAATAATGTTCCTGATAAAATTGCTATCTTTAGGATACATTTTATGAGGGTGGATTGTTGAATGTTTATTTCGATTCATTATTGCAATCAAATCAATTGAAAAAAAAAACTCAAAATCCTCATACCCAAGCAGGCACAATTAATAGTTAGAATAAGTTATAGCAAATAGCACCAAAATGAAAGAACATCATAAAGGCAAACATATTTTTTTGTTTTCATCAGCAAAGACTTCAACTTCCGTTGAATCATTCAATTTATTTGCATCATTATAGAGCCTTACATTCAGATATTATCACTGATATTGCAATGATTGGAATATATCCTAGCTTGCTTGGAAATGTTAAATTTTCCAATGAGTTTTTCTATATTTTCAGCAATTCTGCATCTTGAAGAGACTTGGGGATATTTCTCAAATCACCATTAGACACTGAATATTGCAGACAACTTTTGTTTAATCTTGATTTATTGGATATTTATTATTATTTGGGGAAACGATATTGAATTTCCGTATGATACGACACTGGCTGCTTACCTGTGAAATGACAGATTCCAGATTCATAGCAAAAGCTGCTCCTAACAACTTTATTTCGGACGAAGAGCTAATTTACAAATCACAGAATACTGTTCCCACATATGGGACTCAGCACCCAAACATACGCTGATGCTCTTATATTGCCGATGTCACACTCACTAATTCCTTGACATGAATGGAACACCCAATTGGAAAGTCGGCGACCCTTCACTTTTCTATAAATCTACAGGAAATGTTATTCAGAAATCTCGGTTATCCTTCGTTCACTGACAATACCAGTCAGACAATTTCGACAAGCTCAGTGAGCACATCCTTTCGTCGTCAACTGTTTACCAGAACTCGTTTATTCACAGAACGGCAAAGCTTTGGAATGAGGGAAACCACTGATTTTTTAAAACGACATCTTTGTGAGCTCTATACCAAAGAACTACCAGTAAATATAATTTTGGAATTCTTTCATTCATACTATGACGATAAATAGAAGAAATGAAACAATGTTAATTTCAAATTACAAACTTCCTATGCCATGTGGAATGGTGTCAATTCATTTTTGTGACTGGTGTGACGTATTAGTCCCAACACGCCTATTGTCCTTGAGCTGACCAATCACACTGCAACACTCAGATTTGCACGCATCAGAGAAATATAGCTACAGTTCGGGACGATTACGTCACGGTTTCACCTTCATATCTGGCTTTTTGAAATATCGAATGGAGTTTGCTAATTCGGAAACGCTATAGATTCGACTCCATTCAACTTTGACTCAATAATCAATAAATAATTTTGATTGTACATTGAATTAAAATCATGATCCATCGATTCTTTGCTGAATGAAATATTCCCAAGAACTTATACTCTCGAAAAGTTAAAAAAAAATCAAATGCCTATCTTCTTTCTCTCTTTCCTCCCTAGGTAGCATGAAGTTCTTCGAACATAATAGGGATTCCCTTTTGTTAGCTCCAAGAGAGGAAAAAATGTATTGAGAAGTTCAATCTTCTCATAGTTTCATAGTTCCTTGACCAGTTTCTATGTTAATAACATATCGAAATCTGATTGATCCGTTTCAGGACTTGAACAAGTACATCCGCGGAGAGCTGAACGGCGAACGCGAACTCCAGGTCATCCAGTCCATCGTCGGTTACGCTCTAGAGAGGGAAGAACTCCGAGACGAGGTCTACGTCCAGTGCATCCGACAGGGCACTAATAACCCGAGCGCCGAGGGCACCGAACGGGTCTGGCTGTTTCTGTGCCTTTGCGTGGTTTCCTTTCCGCCGTCCAAGCTGTTGTACCGGTATTTTTTGTCGTTTCTGCGGAAGAATCTCGCGCTGCCTGGGAGGATCAGTCAGTACGTGCAGTGGTGCTTGGACAATTGCAATAACAATAAGGTGACTGTTAGGGAGCACCCTCCGTCATCAGTCGAAGTTGCGGTAAGTTGAAATTTTGAGGAAAAAGACTAGAATTTTCACGCATACAGTGTTTGCCTTTGACTAATAGGGTTTTCCACTCGTCGCACTTGCTCGAACTTTTTTGGCACTGAGTGCGTTTTGCGTGGTCCACTGAGAATTTCAAGAGCAAACTTTTGTCGAGAAATGATTACCACTGGCTCTCAAACTTGCTGGATGCTCGCTCAAAGCTCGAGTTTTCAAAACCTTGCTTGTACGACGGTGCGGTACACATAACCTCAAATATTCGAGTCACGAATAATTACGAATGTCTCATTGAAGTTTAGATACTTCGGATACAAGCGATAAAAGTTAAAGAACGCTATTCAGATGTGCAGGTATTAAAAATATTTGATTGTTGATTCAGTAATGATGAAAAATATTAACTTCATGAACGACACTTCAATGCTACATCACTATTGTCGAATGATTCAATTGAACATCATTGACAATGGGCATTCATATATAAGATTGTTTCTAGCTGGTTTCTGACATGGTTCACAGGGAAACAACAATAAGAGGTAGATGAATCCATTTCATGTGGACCAACGGAACCAAATGTACTTTCAATAATTCAACTTTTTGATTGACAAAACAATTATTCTGACATTTGTGATTACAAGAAGTTCGCACCAACTTTATTTCTATTCCACTGCTCTGTGCTGGAACCACACTTCATGGAAGAACCGAGCCAGTGCCACCTGTACTTGCTCTTTATTAGTGCGCTCTGTAAATCGGCGAGTGGAAAACGCTATAAATAACATGGGGAAATAGTATTTTATGCAATTTTGGCGTATCGGTTTTGTGTAGCCTCACACCTATTGTTTATTGCACTTTTTGGGTGGTTGGAATTTTTTGGTAGAACAAAAACAGTGGGTGTTGTTGTTCGTATGTATATTAATAAGGAATACGAATTGGTGGTTCTCTATCGAGTTTCAGAATACGGCTGGATGAGAGTTTAGATGTGTGATTGAGGAAAGAACAACAGAGGTTGTCATTTAGTTGATCAAAGATCATCCATATCGTGAGAGAAATCAGATTGAGCAACGTTGTCAAATAACGATGAATTTGACAGCCTGTGTCTCAAACGCGAGTACCTCATTGTATGTGACTGCAAGTGCGAATGTTGGAAAATAAACCTAACTTATTGATAGCCGGAAATGAAAATATTTGATGTCTCAAAAATAACTGAACTGTATATCGATAGATTGTAAATAGAATATTTGTGTTCAGTGTAAATCATGTAGGACTGACTTACTAGAACTCAGGAATGATTGTTATAAACTCTTTTGACCAAAGATGCATTTCGCCTATGGAGGGCAATCAGCTATCAAATTTTAATTCAAAATATAGCATTTGACCTACCTGAATACGATACCTAATTGAAAAGGAATTATATTATATAAGTGCTTTATCTTAATCCTGTTGCCTGTATTTGTAGGAACCATAATGGGCGTGTACACCTTGGTAGAACTTTCAACTCAAACTATGTTTATAATGATCCCTTTATACATAAATAATGATTGACGACATGATTCGATCGAAAAATTAACTGGAATATTTTATTTTTGGACATAAATAATAGTACCATCTGAAAACGGACCCTCTCTTATGACGTAGAAACCTCATCTCGCCATAGTTAAAAGAAAGTAACAAAAGCCCGACGGAGACTGAGGCAACTGATATACTAATTCTTTCAACTGTGATCTCGCGCTAATTCACTCTGTCAGAAATCATGTATCATTCATCTCTGTATGGAATAGTCTTGTTTCAGTAATAGGGTTTTGACGTCACATCATCGCCTCGTTTTCAGAGGTCCGAAAAATCGGAGATTTCAATAATTTTTTATAAAACGTAGGGAGCTCACAGCAAGAAACGGTTTGCGGTGGTGAGCTAGTTTCGGTGAGTTCTATCGAATAATGAAATAAAATTTTTTTGTGATATAAGCCCATTGGTATTTAATTGATTTTCGCTGATACTTAGAAGAGAGTTTGATTTGAAATGAAGGAATGATGATTATTATGCTTATCCGATATATGCCTTCACAGGAACTCAATAGAGAATGAATGTGAATTTACTCTTTGAGATACAGAAATAAATAATGATAAAACTATACATACAATAATACTAACTGAAATTAGGTTATTTACGTCCTTACACAATGATCAGGTATTGATAGCCGTCACATGATTGTTGCATGCACCATTTTTTCTACGACCAAGAAATAATAAAATAAAAAGGAAACTCATAACCTAACATACACAGTTTCCGAAATATCTTTTGTAATTCTCCAGTCCATGAAATGCCTCTATAATTCGTCATAGATTTTTATTTCATTGGAACTAGATATCCACAGACACATTGTGTTTTATTAGAAATTTCTGGTGGTGTACAGGATGGTTTTTCAATACTGAACATGCTTATACTTATCGGTACTTTTGACTTGTTGTAATTGAATGTCAGTTTAAATTAAATGTCAATCGAGTATGTAGAAACGTAGACCACTCGATGATTCCAAAGTACGTCAATCTATTGGCCAATAATTCGTTTCATAATGAGAAGTACAGGGTCTTCGCGTATATTTTAAACACCCCACTTGACTTTTATGTTTTCTTTTTTTTTTTTTCAAGTAACTCAACATTTTTTTTTTCGTAGATTTTATATATGCCAATGGAAAAACAGTTGAACATTTCAAAAAACAACATTGATACATTTACATTTACACATATTCAAATGGGACACCTTGTATTTCACTGCATTTTCAGATTATCCCTGAAGACCTAATCTCATCGATCCATCACACTAGGGGAGTAGCTGAAATGATTACAGAGATATAGGGTGTGAAAAACTGAGATTTTCTCAACATTATGAATTTTTTGTCGAAACTATTCATGATGAAATTGATATGACATGGATACAAAGCTTGTTTATTTCTTTGGATTAGGAAAAACATACTGCCAGCTCCTAATAATCTGGTAGCCTACTTATTTCAATTTGTTTTTCGTGCGTCAGGCGATGAAGAGGTTAGGCACGATCGTATGCAGATTCTTCTTCCTTGATGGTCGTACCAAGGCCATCGATGTCCATCCCACCGACACTGCCGGCGACGCTGCCAGGAAACTGGCGGAACGTTTGGGGCTGAGAAATCTGGACGGTTGGGCCATATATCAGAGCAGGCCTGACGGGGAAGAACATGTCAGGGCCCACCATTATCTTTACGATATAATTGCACAATGGGAATTGTAAGTAAAAAATATACGCTGTTTTTGAAAATACTCATTGTTATTGCTTTGATGAAAATTCAAGGAATATTCCTTTATTGAAAAGGAATATTCTCAGATATACAGGGTGTAACATATGTACGTTGAAATATTCGAGAGAAAAAGATGTCTATATAAACCTGTGTTCGGAAATGCTTCATTTTGGAGATACATTGTGTTGAAATTGATTTTTTTGTTTGCTTTTTCTAAAGAACTTTTGCGAAGAAATATGTTATTTGCACGAAACTTGGTACCCGAGGTGACAATTTGAAATGGATTTTTTTTTCTATATTTAGGTTTAAAACGGGAGCAGATTTGTTTCCGATACGTCAATGACGTTAAAATTTTAATATTTTTCTATATGCCTAAAATATTCCATCATTTATTTTTAGACAAGGTGACACTATTATTGAAGAATGTCTCTTTTGGGTTTCTAATGGTGAAATTTGTTCAAAGTAGTGACACTTTCGAACAAATCATTTGATTTGTCCTTACTACATATATGTATATTGAAATAATATTCACGTTTTCATCCATAATATGTTGCTAGGTCTTTATGAACCACTAGTAAATAACATGGAAAAACCAATTTTGCGTGCGACGAGTGGAAAACGCTATTATGGAAATATGTTTTTCTTCATTAGGAATCAAAATAAATTGGTGCCGTCTAGCGGTTTAGCGACATTGAGTAGAAGAAGTGCACAAGCAGTGAGTGGTGGAGAAAATCGCTTCATCTTCAAAAGAAGATTGTTCAAATCTAGTCGAGAACTCAGTCAAGACCCAGTCGAAGTCAATTTACTTTATGCTCAAGCTGTACATAGTGTTGTTAAGGTAAGTCTGAATTCATACTTAATGTATCACCAAAAAATACACTCCTGATATGTTCCATTAGATATATTTTCGGCATATCATATGTTCACAAATAGGGGAACACCGGTCAGAGGACATCTGGGAAAGATAGGTTAAATTGACATTAAAAGTGACATTTCCTGTTTCACATTTAAGTACAATCAGAATATGGATGCAATTGAGCCTTGCACTGTTGTAAGACATTTCTGGTCTTTCTGAATTCTTTGAAGATAGTTAAGAGAAATTTGTATAGTATATCACTATTATATACATAAACACAAATATTTGTCTTCACTATGTTCTGATGTTTCATCAAGAGTTGATGTACAGGGTATCCCAATTTGGGCACTTTTGCGGGTTATCAGTAAAGATAGAGCATTGCGGTTTTCGTGACAGTGTGCTACTTTTTCATGAAATTAATAATGGCGCAAGCAGAATTGTGATAGCTCTTCCGGTTGTCGAGATACAAGGTGGAATTGAAAAATATCACTTTTCAGGCACCCTCCGTGTCTCAGTTATCTTTGAACTTATCGAAGAAGATAAAACTTGTTTTTATAGAGTTTTTCTCGTAGAATCCAGTGGCGTAGTTATTTTTTTGCTAGCACCTTTTGTTTTTTAGTTATGGAGCAAACATATGTTTTTTTAAATGGAACACCCTGTATATTATTTCATATATACATTGAGCATGAAGTGGGCTTTCCAAAAATATATAATTGTATACAATTATTTTCAATTTAAAAAAACATATGTTTGCTCCATAACTAAAAAACAAAAGGTGCTAGCAAAAAAATAACTACGCCACTGGATTCTACGAGAAAAACTCTATAAAAACAAGTTTTAACTTCTTCGATAAGTTCAAAGATAACTGAGACACGGGGGGTGATATTTTTCAATTCCACCCTGTATCTAGACAACCGGAAGAGCTACCACAATTCTGCTTGCGCCATTATTAATTTCATAAAAAAGTAGCACACTGTCGCGAAAACCGCAATGCTCTATCTTTACTGATAAGAGAGATACCCCGCAAAAGTGCCCAAATTGGGATACCCTGTACATGGTACCACATCTTGATGATAATGAAGTAATGCTACTATTTTGTACTAATCTTGAGTTAGCTAGTTTTTGCTAGTTTCACAAATTTCTACAGGTACAGGTGTGATTTAGGTATAACTCCATAAATCTGAAGATATGATCCATATATCATCGGTTATCTTTAGCATTTCCTTCATGAAGAATAGTGACTTTTGAGTAAATTGTTTGTTTTCGAATTTACTAGGCCTATATGAATCTATATTTAATATAGGTAATATTTTTTTGTGAAAAAGATTGGAAATTGAAGAATGTAAGGTTGCTGAGATATAAAAAAAATATGTTTGTTTCCAATGGCTGTCTTAGTTTCATCTCATGAAACATCGATTTGTTTCTTTCGTGTTCTGTTCCTCTTTGTGAATTCTACCTAGATTTATAGAATTAGTCTTATTTTGGTTTGTATGACTTCATTTGGCTTCAGGATAAGAACCAGAATTAACATAGTTCAGATGCATTACTGCATTTGCTGCTAGTGAAAATCAATAGATTTTGATCTCCCGGAGATAAGATCTTCAAATGAACTTAGTAGGGTATTCCCTTCTGTTTATTCACTATCTGCTCTTGCCAATCAAGTTGGGTTTCATTGATTCACCTAGATATATGCCATTTCATGTTCTTATTTTTTGTAAATTTCCATGTTGATTATTAGTAACGTTATTTTTTCAGTGCGACGATTTTCCTGTAACCGAAAAAGTCGCCCTCCAGCTGGCCGGCCTCCAAGCTCAAGTCGCCCTCGGCAACCCCAAAGACAACAACAAGCTCGAGTACTACACGGACCTCGACACGTACCTGCCGTACCGCATCAGCCGGACGCGCGGAGACGACGTCTGGGTGCCCATCATCGCGCAGGCGCACCGGCAGTACGGCGCTAACCGCACCGAGTTGACGGCGAAGGCGCTGTACCTGTCCTGCGTCATGCAGTACCCGCTGTATGGTACTACGATGTACCCGGTCACGTATCGCGGGTACTGGTCGTACGGCAACGCTTTGACGTTGGGTGTCAATTTCGATGGGATCATGTTGATCAAGAACGATGACAAGTTTGTGCTGAGCGAGTTTCGGTATCAGGTATGCTTGCAGTAGTTCAAATGTAGCTTTCAGAATGAGGAGAACTGTTATATACAATATTTACAGTTGGCATGTGTGAAATAGGTTGTTGTTGTTTCTTGTCAGAGTGACAAGATAGTATTTCTTTGAATCTCGTCGGAATACATTTTGTAATTTTCGAGATAATGAGGTTTTTTGTGGAAAAGTAGCTGGAGCTAAGCCTACTGACAAACCTTTGGAAGAGCTCAAATATAGCCAACATGACATATACAATCAATCAAAATTTAATTTATTATAAAATGATGAGTTTAGATATTAGAAACACTTACAATAGTTCGAATGTAGCTTTTAGATTGAGTACATCTATGATTCGAGACAAAATATGCAATGCACAATGCCATCAAACGGTATGACTTTGGACGATTTTCGAGTCATTGCAGTCTCAGAGTGTTTCAATAGTTCCAAGTCTGGTATAATATGAGGGTGATCTTTGTGTCTTGTATGTCAGGTATGCTTACAGTAGTTAGAATGTAGCTTTCAGAATGGAGAACTTTTATATTCAATATTTACAGTTGCCATGTGTGAAATAGGAGAGTTGTTTCTTGTCAGAGTGACAAGATAGTTTTTCCTCGAATCTTCGGAATATATTGTGTAGTTTTCGATAAAATAAAGTTTATTCGTGGAAAAGCTCAGTGTTTCATGTATATCTGGAGCCTGGAGCTAAGCCTACTGACAAACTGTTGGAAGAAAACCGTTGGAAGAGCTGAAATTTATCTAACAAGACATCTACAAATAATCAAAATTAATTAATTAATTAAGATGAGTTTATATATCATAAACGCAATAGTTCAATTGTTGCTTTCAGATTGAGTATATCTATAATTCAAGACGAAATATGCAATGAACAATGCCATCAAACGGTATGACCTTGGACGATTTTCGAGTCATTGGAGTCCAAAATTTACAAATCTGTTATAATATGAGGACATCTAAAAATAGTAATTGATTATCAGATTCAATTTCCAAAGTGAACTTCATTGTTTATTCGGCATTGTTCACATGTATTCAAAAGTTTTTCCAAACAAACTGTCACTGACAAGGTATTGGATTTTTCTTTCAGGCTCCCTGATAGAAAAATTTGTTGAACGCAGTGACATTTTGGGGCAAATCATAATCGAGTAAAATGAATGTACCACCTCCTCTATTAACCTACAGACAGTATTCAGTACATTTTCCAACATTCAAAAACAATAATTGTTTTCCTGAGTATAATAAACATTCTTAGTTACAGCCATTCGGAAGTCGAGCAGTTTCTAAAAATGTTCAAGAATTGTTAGTTTTCAGCTAGTATTTTTAATTTTTCATTGTAGGGATTCACTTCAGTGATCATAAATTCAGCTTTATTCATCTATTTTTAATAGCTTTTAAAGCAAAACGGCCCATGGAGGCTATTCGCGATAGAAAATAAGCGTACGCCACCTATCGGAGTTCTTGAAAACTGTTAAAACGGCATGTTTACTTTGTTTTCATTGGTTCACATTTGTTTTTTGTTTGTGCTTATTGGTCATATCATCAGAACAAACCGCTCAGATGTGTTCAAGTTGCTGCCGTCAGGTGGGACGACGAGGGTTATTTTCTATCGCGAATTACATAGGTGATGTAGGTATCTTCCAGAATTATAAGACTGTTGTATAGTCAACCAAACGTATTGACTGTGCCACTTATAGCTCCATAACACAACATCATTCATCATGTTCTCAAAAATTGAATCTGTTTAATTTCCAGGACATCGAGAGCATCCTGCTCGACCCGAGCGACAGCTTCGTCACCATCACCCTGCAGAGGCACCTCAGCGACAACAACCACAAGTGCTACGTGTTCGAGACGGCGCAGAAGAGCGAGATCGGCTCGCTGATCGCCAGCTATTGCCCTTCGTTGGCCGGCTGGCTCGCCGAAAACGAGACGCCGCTCAAGAGAGCCAAGGCCATCACGAACGAGGACCGCGTGCGGCTGTACCACAACCTGGTCAACTGTCGCAGGTGAGAAGTTTATAATTGCTATGGTAGGCCACTGACAAACACTATCTAAGGCCCGTATTTATAGTCGCTCCTTAAGGTGACCTCGTCCCTTAAGGCATCCTTAAGGACAAGTTTCCAATTTATAGTCGTAATATGAGCTCGAAGGAAGCCTCAAGGAAATGTCAATTCCAATAAAGGTAAAGAGGTACCTTGAGCATTCCTTGATCCCATTTCTAGTATTATTTCAAATTATGTTATGAATTCCATGAATGGAATGAATAAATTGTATGTAGTAATCAAAGGAATATTCAAGTCTTGAAATTTGAACAGAGAATCTGATTAGAGTATATGGATTTCCAGTAGAAGCTAATTCAAGTTTAGTTGAAAAGTAAATCTTTTTTATTTCAAATAATAGGTATATATTATATATAATGGACACTCAGCATATTTACAATTATATATAGGTATCATCTTGATGATTTATTGTTCATGAAATTGAAATACATACATTTTTGATAATCATATTTTCATTTTATAGAAACGAGAAGAGGAACATCTCAAATAATCAAGTAAAATGAACATACATTTTCAATGAACAACCACACAAAATCACAGATTGGATATTTTTCTCTCCCTGGCATATTATTCCATTGCAGCTTGAAAGATAGAGTTATTTTTGTATTGTAATTTTCCAACATCGTCATCGATAATCTCTTCTACCCTTTCTTCATTTTGCGGAACTTTTGATGTATTTTATCTGTGATAGAAGTAATATATTGTTAGGCCCAATTTGAACCAACCTTTGAAGATTATTACTGGATTATTAGTTGGATTATTAGAATCTTTCGATGTCCACACTCAACAGTAAACATTATCAAATTTGACATTTTACATTTTGTGACAAACACGTGACATGAAACAACAATTTTGGTCACAGAACACTAAAATTATACACTGTTGCCAAGTGTAAGGGCTTCTTTTAGAAGGAATACTATAAAACAGGTTTAACGTCAAGTACTGAGGAGTCCTCAAGGAAGGAAGGATATGGAAGACTTGAGGAGTTCTTGAGGAAACGACTATAAATACGGGCCTAGAACAATCTTTGGTAGAAGTCCATGGTTTCTCAAAGTGGAATCAAGTATTAAATACTAAATGATACACAAATTCATCTCCACGACTTCAATGTGATTAACACACCAAAATTTGGTACATGTTTCAGACATAAATATGTCCATCATCAGCCTCATATTAGAAATTATATAATTAAAGGAGAAAGGAAAAGTCATCTCCACAACTTTAATATGAAGTGTTTATTCAACGGGACATGTTTCGAACTTATAAAAGTCCATCTTCAGCCGTATTTAAGAAATTACTAAAAGTAAAGACATGTGAAAATATACAAAATGTTATAAAAAATTGTTTGTTCACTTACATGGAGGTGAAACATTGTTTGTTTTAACAATGATGTCGATGTCTGTCATCATAATGTCATTGCTGAGAATAAATAGTTTGAAGGAATAAACGGGTTTTCATTAAAAATGAAGGGCCCCGTGCCCTGAGAACGCGCACTTATGAATCAAATCACAAGTCAAGTCCCAGAAGGGAAACTTGACGAACACACAAGGTGCTCAAAATAACCATATTGGTGTATTACGGGAAAAAGGGTCCCGTACCCTTGAGAGAGCGCACTTAAAAATCAAAAATCAATTTAGAATTGATGGGGCCAAAAGCCAAAAACGTGTTACATCCAACCTAAGGTTAGAAACACAGAATTGATTGCAAGAACTTGACAAGTCTCAATAACATGACATTATGACAAGTGACATAGGACACAGAATTAAAGCAAACAATGGGATGAATGTGAATTCCACTAGAGGTAGTACAGTTAAAAATACTCAAACAGAAATGACAATGAGAAGATTTGAAAGGGAGGGGGAGGAGGAACATTCCAACAAGATGGTTAGTAGCAAATCTGAAAGCAAATGAATGATGATAATTGGAAGAGACCAAAGCAGGTGCCAAACAACATAAAAACTAAATTTAGTTATTGGTAAAATCTAAGGAATTGAAAAATTTCACACAATCATAGTTTACCTGTTCATTAAGGGATGTGACCAAATTATTGTTCAAAGCAGAATTTTTTTTAAAAATTTCCAACAAATTCTATAAAGTACCTTTCTGGCAAACATGCAATATTTTTAAATCTTGATTCATGTCAAAATTGTGTTCAGAATTTAGTATGTGGTTAGCAAAAGAACTCTTAGTGTTATACTCGTCTAAAATCGGAGGGGAGGTTTTGGATTTTTCTATGGTTTTTACATGTTCCAAGACTCTAGTTGAAATCCTTCTACCGCTTTGGCCAACATACTGTGCATTGCAATCAGAACAAGAAATACTATAGACACCAGATTTGTGATTCAAAGAAACTTTGTCTTTTGTATTAACTAAGATTTTTGAAATATTGTCAATAGTGTAAAAAGAAATATTTATATTATCCATAAAACGATGAAAAATATGTTTAATATCAATGGAGACTTTACCCAAGAACGGAATTGAGGCAAAACGGTTCCTAGGGTTATCCAAGGGCAATAAACTTCTATTAATAGATTTGTTGAGGTGTTTGTTGTATATTCTATTGATGACACGAGGAGGGAAACCATTATTATGACCAATCTGTTTGATAATGTTCAGTTCATTATTGAAAGCAACCGGACTCATAGGAATGTTGAACAATCTATGGAACAGAGAATTAAATGCAGCAAATTTATGTTGATTAGGATGACAAGAAGAGAAAAGGATGATTCGATCACCGATTCACCTCCTCGTGTCATCAATAGAATATACAACACGACCGATTCAGTCATCCCTTTCTCTTCTTGCCATCCTAATCAACATAAATTTGCTGCATTTAATTCTCTGTTCCATAGATTGTTCAACATTCCTATGAGTCCGGTTGCTTTCAATAATGAACTGAACATTATCAAACAGATTGGTCATAATAATGGTTTCCCTCCTCGTGTCATCAATAGAATATACAACAAACACCTCAACAAATCTATTAATAGAAGTTTATTGCCCTTGGATAACCCTAGGAACCGTTTTGCCTCAATTCCGTTCTTGGGTAAAGTCTCCATTGATATTAAACATATTTTTCATCGTTTTATGGATAATATAAATATTTCTTTTTACACTATTGACAATATTTCAAAAATCTTAGTTAATACAAAAGACAAAGTTTCTTTGAATCACAAATCTGGTGTCTATAGTATTTCTTGTTCTGATTGCAATGCACAGTATGTTGGCCAAAGCGGTAGAAGGATTTCAACTAGAGTCTTGGAACATGTAAAAACCATAGAAAAATTCAAAACCTCCCCTCCGATTTTAGACGAGTATAACACTAAGAGTTCTTTTGCTAACCACATACTAAATTCTGAACACAATTTTGACATGAATCAAGATTTAAAAATATTGCATGTTTGCCAGAAAGGTACTTTATAGAATTTTTTGGAAATTTTTGAAAAAAATTCTGCTTTGAACAATAATTTGGTCACATCCCTTGATGAGCAGGTAAACTATGATTGTGTGAAATTTTTCAATTCCTTAGATTTTACCAATAACCAAATTTAGTTTTTATGTTGTTTGGCACCTGCTTTGGTCCCTTCCATCTTGTTGGAATGTTCCTCCTCCCCCTCCCTTTCAAATCTTCTCATTGTCATTTCTGTTTGAGTATTTTTAACTGTACTACCTCTAGTGGAATTCACATTCATCCCATTGTTTGCTTTAATTCTGTGTCCTATGTCACTTGTCATAATGTCATGTTATTAAGACTTTGACTTATGTCAAGTTCTTGCAATCAATTTTGTGTTTCTAACCTTAGGTTGGATGTAACACGTTTTTGGCTTTTGGCCCCATCAATTCTAAATTGATTTTTGATTTTTAAGTGCGCTCTCTCAAGGGTACGGGACCCTTTTTCCCGTAATACACCAATATGGTTATTTTGAGCACCTTGTGTGTTCGTCAAGTTTCCCTTCTGGGACTTGACTTGTGATTTGATTCATAAGTGCGCGTTCTCAGGGCACGGGGCCCTTCATTTTTAATGAAAACCCGTTTATTCCTTCAAACTATTTATTCTCAGCAATGACATTATGATGACAGACATCGACATCATTGTTAAAATAAACAATGTTTCATCTCCATGTAAGTCAACAAACAATGTTTTATAACATTTTGTATATTTTCACATGTCTTTACTTTTAGTAATTTCTTAAATACGGCTGAAGATGGACTTTTATAAGTTCGAAACATGTCCCGTTGAATAAACACTTCATATTAAAGTTGTGGAGATGACTTTGAGCTTTCCTTCCTCCTTTAAAAATTCCACTCCACTTTGAGCAAACATGGACTTCTACCAGAGATTAATTACATAATTGTCCTAAAATTAAAGTAAGTTATTAGTACAATCAACAAGAGTGATGAGTACTGTCTGTAGGTTAATCGAGGAGGTGGGTGATTTTTCTTCTCCCTGATGGAAAAATTTGTTAGTGACATTTTGGGGCAAATCATCACATCAATCACATCAAAAATTGGTACATGTTCCAGACATATAAATCTTCATGGACAACTTGGAGCGAATAATACATAATCATTCATAATTGAAACAATGTTTGTATTGGTATAGATACCTAGATGACGTTATAGTATGCTTTGAAGGAACCAATGAATAATTAGACACTTTCCACCAATATATGAATACTATTCATCCAAACATAAATTTCACAATAGAAATAGAGACCAAAAATCCAATCAATTTCTTAGATTTGACAATAGGTAAATTAACGATAAACATGATTTTTCAATTTTCCATAAACCTTCCCACACTGATATCACTATTCATAATAATTCAACACACCCTTATCAACATAAAATTGCAGCATATAATAGTATGATACACAGGTTAGTGAATGTCCCGCTTTAGGATTTAAATAAAGAACTCAATATCATAAAACAGACGGATACAACGTTAATTTGATAGACAGTATTCTTTCTAAAAAACTTCATGATAAAGCTATTGAAGAAGTTCATCCTACCATCAAGAATGATAATCGAAATTATAGAACTTTAACCTATTTTGGATCATCAACTGACAAATTAGCTTCATTTCTACATAAACAGGACTTGAAAGTGGCATATAGAACAAATAACCCGTTGGGACGGTTTATCAAGAATAATTAAGACAAAACTTTTAAATTCGAAAAATCAGGGGTATACAAACTCAACTGTGGATCTTGTCCTAAGGTATATATCGGTCAGACAGCTCGTACGTTTAATCAGCCATTCATGAACATGAAAGAAAACAAATTCAACATACGCCAACCATATATTAGAAGAATACACGTAGAAAATAAAGGAATGAAACTTAATCATTTTGAATCATTAGAAATCAACAAACTCAAAAATTCTGACATTATACTTAACGATGAATTAGACCTCAATAGTTCACCACTGTTGAATTTGTTTTCTTAGTCTCTTTCAAGTTAATCCGGTACACCGTATTTCAATGTAGATATTGTGCCTTATTTCCGAAAATGAAGGTTTATCGTACCTGTCCACAGGTGACTAATCCTTCTGGTTGGGAAAGTAGGATATATAAAAGTTAGGCAAGCCAACGTTAGTTTAGTTGATTGTACCAGTATATCACTTGACGAAGCTACTGTGTTAGCGAAACATGTCGTGTGTTTGAAATATTTTGTGGAAATCATATCGTTTGTGAAGTTTTTACATTAAAATTTCCATACAAAGTATTGAGGAACCTACATACCATGTACAAACGAATATACATGATACCACAAAATTAAAAACAGTACTAAAAACTAAGTATAGTTAACTGTAAGGTAGTAATAATAAATAGTCAGTTGAATCTTCCATTTAGTATTTTGAATGGGACTTGAATTTTTCAGAGTTGAGAAATTAAAATTTATTGGAAGTTCATGGTAGTAATCAACCCCTTGCACTGTTATTGAGTTATCATGCACTTTATCTAATCAGTCTTTCGGGAGTCCAGTTCTAGTGAAATATATCAGTGTTGCCTATCGTTTGCACTTCTTTCACCGTATTGATGAGGGCCGAAAGCCCGAAACATGTGTCTGCGGTTAACTCTTCATGACGGCTACGTCCAATAATATTTTCCTAGTTTACTTAAGACAATTCCCTCAATATTCCTTCCATCTTATGTCAGTTAGTTCAGATTGAAAGAATATTGTCACGAGTAGAACATACGGTATATCAGTAATTTCGAACCATGAGGGTTCTATGAACAAATCATCCGTTGACATTGAATTATGAAAACTGGCCAAGAAACTCTCATGAGAAACGTGCAAATCTAATGAATTGATATATAAATATAGGATATGTGAGGGTTCCGAAGTTAGTCTGGTCTGGGGCTACTCTTGACTTGACATTGTCAAACAACAGCTCGTCGTGATGGTCGTTATAATGTTAGTTGTCATTAGGCCTTTATATCCATTCTTGTTTATTCATATTTGCTATTGTTACCCATAATGTTTCATGTTATAATAAATATTGTAATGTTTGGATGTAGTCTCATATTTTCAGCTACCCCTAAACTATTAGTGCCTATTCGAATATTACCTCTAGCAAACTATTAAGCCAAGCATTACCCCTTATAAATCGATATGGAGGAGAAACCATCTATTATATCGTGACATGGTGGAGGCGCCTAAGCTTCTATCCTGTGAGTCGCATTCCTCATAATGGACTCATAATTATAATTATTTTTTTTTCAATCATCAATTTCAGTAAATGTCATATATTTCATCCAAAGGCACTAGTAGAAAGGGTTAATTGAAAGTAATTAAGCAGCATGAATTATGGGTGATAACAAAGTAAGAAATTCAGTTAAATTAGATATCCTTTATAATTTTTCAATATTCCAAATACGATTAAGCTTGAAAAGTTGAATAACATTCATTCCATTCCTATTCAAAGAAATGATATTAAGCACCAGACCAGACTCACAAAGTTTAAAGCTTATCTCTGAACTTCGTTAATTTGTTTCTCTACTCGTAATTTTCCATTTTAATTTAGAAAGAAGTTCTTCCTATGTCACATTCTTGCCAGTTTTTTTCCTCAAATCAAGATAATTTCAAATATTTTTCTTTATGGTTGATAAAATCATTCAAGAAATGCAATGCCAATGCCAAGAACACCTACATCAATCGAAAATATAGTCATTCACAACGTGTCTATAGTTCTATAACAATACGAAATGAAAACAATAATAACAAATTCAGGACATGCTCGATATAAATCATAATAAATTTCAATATTAGTGCGAATACAAATAACTCATAATTCAAGTGATAGTTGAGAATGTTTCGATTCAAAATATTTTAGTCAGTATATAAATAACCATTCAAATATTGAAAATACTCTTAAACATTGGAATCGTTTACCATTTTTTATCATTCCTCCTGAAATGAAGTAGGTATACGCAAACATGGTATCATTATGTTATGAAAATATGATATGGCATGAATTATTTGAGCTCAAAAATAATGATGTACGTAAACTCCCAACAAAGAAATTGGTACTTGGTTTCAAGTGAAACCGTTTCCGTACAGAATAATCACCCTATAATTCAGCGTCTCTCGTCTTCTTAGCCAAACCACATCCAGAGAAGTAGCTGTTTGCTGTTTTTGGATATTATAAAAAGTAGGTACGAATATCACTTATGTCGCAGGGCTCTCGTGGACCACGACGTGCTCCGCAAACCCACCGACTCATCGGGCAGCTTCCTGAGGAACACGCTGCGCCGGCTGAGCAAGCACAAGCTGGACAAGCTGCGGCAGGAGAACGGCGGCGGGGACACGGGGGAGACCTACAAGGGGTTCCACTACGCGTTCTGGGCGTTCAGCAGGCAGCCGCTGCCGCAGAGCATCAGCAGGATACCGGAGGCGGACGAGCAGGTCATGTTGCAGGTGTTCCAGATCATTTTGACTTATGCCGGGCTCGGGCAGAACGGTGAGTGGACAATTATCAGACATAAACTGGAATTTGAACTCTATGGTGAACAAAAGTGAAGTACATGATGGTGTACAGGCTGTCCCATTTTCGATGTCCTTACGGGATATCTCGCTTAATTTTGAAGATAGAGATTTGCGGTTTTCGCGAACGTTGGCTACATTTTTGTGAAACTCACGAAACCGTGAACAAAATTTCCATAGCCCGCTTCGTTCCTGAGATACAGGGCAAAATTGAAAATATTGCATTTTGAGACCCCCCTTGTATCTCAGCTATCTTTCAACTTAGAGGGAAAGTAAGAACTGTTTCTTTCACAATTTTTCACGTAGAATCCAGTGGCGTAGTCAGATTTTTTAAATGAGCTGTCGTTATTTAGATATAACCCAAAGTTATGTTTTTTTAAATGGAACACCCTGTATGTTTTTCAATATTTGAAACAAGAAAGCTTTGCGCTTTTCAAAAATATATAACACTTATATGATATTTTGAGTATTAGTCCTGTATTTGGGTAATTTTCAGTTTTTTATGGCATATCAAGACAAATAACTTCTACTTTTAGAATAGATATTCTGGCGCAATAATTAAATACCACTCATTTATATAGGGTAGAATGAGAAGTATTCATTTAAAATGATTATTCAACTAACAAATTGATAAAAACAATTTGATAAAACATAAAACAATTTAATAAAACAATAAATTCAAACACCACTACAAAACAATTCTATTAATTTTTCTCCTGTTGAAAATGTCATGAATATTGTTCAAATTGCTGCCCATTCTGTTGAAGACACAGCCGACATCTTCTGAGGATAGCGTCAATCGACCGGAGTAAAAATATAGGTCTCATACGTAAATATTCGAAAGCTTCTCTCGTAGCATTCATCAGTGAATCTCGAACTTCATGCCGCGTGTGATATATTTTATTTTTTATATAGCCCCATAAGAAGAAATCTAATATCGATAAGTCAGGGGACCTTGGCGGCCAGTGAATGGGACCATTATTACTAATCATCAAGATAAACCCTGATGGCACCTGCGTTATGACAAGGTGCGCCAAAGAAACTGTGTCTAAATTGAGCCAACGGAATTTCGCCAAGTAGTTCAGAAAGACAATCATCTAAAATTTCCAAATATCTTTGGTGATTCAAGTTACCGTCAAAAATTCGATAGGCAAGTCTTCCTCCATAAACGAAACAAGATACATTAAAGCCGAATCTGCCTTGCTGTTGGCGAACCACCGTAACGTGATGATTTTCATTTGACCAATAACGATGATTATTTCGATTAAATATTCCAGCGCTCCTTATATGGCTTTCATCGGACCATACTACTGAACGCCCAAAATTTATATTTTCTTCCGTCTTTTGGATATACCATCTACAAAACTCAATGAGCTTCACAGCATCACCCGGGTACAAATAATGAATAGTTTGTGGTATGTAGGGGGTATATTTGTTCTTTTTCAATATCTTGGACACCCTTGTCTTTGGAATGCCAAATGATTCTTCAATTTCTCTGCAAGAAGTATAATTATTGCTTTCTTCTACCTTTGCAAGAACACTAATTTCATCGTTTTCGGCATTTTCTTTCCTATAACTTTTTGGTCTAGGCTTCTCAAAAGATCCAAAATTTTCCAAATTTTCTTTCAGTCTGCCAAATATTTTCCTACTTGGTTGTCTCCTCTCGGGATACCTAAATTTTTTCTCATATTGTAACTAACTGATACCCAGCAATTGGGAGATAGTAAATACCTTTCAAAATATAGGTCCTTCGCTTGATTTGCATTGAAGCCAACTTGGTAATATATTCCAACCTTATCTAATTTCTCGTAGTTTTGATATCCTGGATTATTATTCGCCATTGTATGAAAAATTTGTAAACTTTGACAGGTAGGTGACAAGAATTGTAAACAATCTGCATTTGTGTTTTTTTTTCATAGCTACCTACTAATTAGGTCCACAGCTTTCATAGGCAATTAATAGTACTGAATATTGGTAAATGTGGTGAGTGTGTGACGAAACACTGTGTCAGCAATAAGGGAAATATGAAAATTTGTGAAGTGGATAATGTTGCCACATTTTTACAAGGCCTATTGATAAGAAACCTACATAAAAAACTGAAAATTACCCAAATACAGGACTAATATTCAAAATATCATATAAGTGTTATATATTTTTGAAAAGCGCAAAGCTTTCTTGTTTCAAATATTGAAAAATATACAGGGTGTTCTATTTAAAAAAACATAACTTTGGGTTATATCTAAATAACGACAGCTCATTTAAAAAATCTGACTACGCCACTGGATTCTACGTGAAAAATTGTGGAAGAAACAGTTCTTACTTTTCCTCTAAGTTGAAAGATAGCTGAGAAACAGGGGGGGTCCCAAAATGAAATATTTTCAATTTCGCCCTGTATCTCAGGAACGAAGCGGGCTATGGAAATTTTGTTCACGGTTTCGTGAGTTTCACAAAAAAGTAGCCAACGTTCGCGAAAACCGCAACTTTCTATCTTCAAAATTAAGCGAGATATCCTGTAAGGACATCGAAAATGGGACAGCCTGTACATCATGGATCGATTCTGGGGCCACTTTTATTCCATATTAATACTGCCGAATTATCTAATTGCCTGTTAGACTGTATAAGCCACTTCTATGCTGATAATAGCCAATTATATTCTAGTTTTCATCTTGTAGATGCCTATTTAGCAAACTATTTCGTCAACAGATATATTCAATGATTTATCACCCGCTCAAAGCAACATATTCTCCATATAAACCCAAAATGGCAATGAATGACGAAATAATCGGGAATTATTCGGAATGATATCAACATGTTCGTAATAGACTGTTATTTGAAATTCACGGAACACGTCAGCAAAATAAATGAATTCAGCGTACTTACGGGTGTCTTGAATTGCTGTACTCAAGTCGGCAAATACTACTACTACTATTATTATCTCATAATTCAAAACAAAACTGTGTCATCAAACAGTTTAATCTAATTGCAACTATTGTGATATAGTAGATGATCCGTGTACCTATAAATTCCTTTGACTGTTATCGAATTAAAAAAACAACTGCATTAGACTGATTTTTTGGGGATTGCGGAGATCTTATCATTTCACTGAATATATTTCTTTCCTTCTACTCCACCAGCAAATTCAAAGCATCTTCTACCAACTACCACTGATATATAATGCTGAAAACAAAAATTCTTGATGAACAAAGTACACAATCTACTTGGATACACTGATTACCTCCTACACTTGATATTAAAAATAAATATCATTCTCTTATCTTTTTTGTCTGAATGGCAACTTGGTTGAAATAAATAGTTCTTCGAAAATCATGAAAATTCTTTAATTCCATTGTAATCCAGTCATTTGGTGACAGGAAGTACTGGATTCAGGAATAAATTGCTAAAGAATTTTTCTCGACGGATCAATATGGTTTTCGTGGTGCGGAATCTGAAAATCTAGTTATCGACTAGATTCGAATATGGCTTCACCACGAAAATCGCAAAAAAAACATGAAATTCGGGACTTATTTTGATTTTTTGCTTATAACTCCGAAACAATGTGATTTAGAGAAAAAATACATCAAACAAAAATGAAAGCCTAAAAAATTTACTGTGGTACCAAAACAATATCTGCTCGATATCTTGATGGATTCAGCCGCTAGAGCGCCCTGAAAATAGACAATAGTTTCAAAGTCCAAAATATTCGTATTTCAGATTTTGAATTAGTATACATCGCCAGGCTAGTGGTTCCGCCTAGTGTGTCTCACCATGGAGTATCCTGAACCTCTTTCCTCAACATTCATTTTATGACTATGAGTGAGTTGAAATGCCGAACGATAATTATTGTTCACTTTGTGATATGCCGCTGGACGATAGAACCGAAATTGTGAGTGTGCAGAGAGGGCTGAAAGCATGATGAAAGACATTGTAAAAGCTAGCGTGAGGAGAAAGACGGTAAAAATGATATGTTCATGCAGAAAACAATACACCAAGGAAACGAATATTGTTGCTGCTGAAACAAAGGCTGAAGAGGGCAATTCTCCTGCGCAATTAAGATCAGCTTTTTTGCATTTCGAACTCATTGTTTCCTGTATGGCAAAGAAATTCCGAAGAACTATGCTGCGAAACAAAAAAACTTGACTGCATGTGCACGTGACCCTGTCTATCAGGTGAGAACGATGAATGTGAGAGGTAATGTTTATCAACATGCCAGTACTTTAAATGATGATTATTCCCGAGCCGTTGAACACCGTTTAGGTTCTATTGAAGACCTGGTTGCGGCTGGTGGTCAATACCATCGTTCTTGTATGCAAAATTTTCTGATTCGCCGGCCTTCATCCTCTTTCCATGCCAGATTGGAACCAATATAAAACTATCATGGGACCAATGATGATTGTCCATTTATTATTACCCGTACAGACCTATATTATGGATTCAATTTTGACTTCAGACCCAATCAACGAAGGGCGCAGATTCCATGGACAGACTGTAGGCTTTGAAAGTCTGAAATACAAATATTTTGAATAACTTGAAAAATATGATCAATCTTCAGCGCGCTCTGACGGTTGAACCAGATAAGTAAGCGAGCTGATTTTTATCTTATTTTTTTTTGTAAATTTCATTTGCTTTCATTTTCAACTAAGCTAATTTTTCTCTATATCAAGTCGTTTCGGAGTTACGAGCAAAAAACTAAAACAACTCCCAATTTTTCATAATTTTCTGCCATTTTCATGGTGAAGCCTTATCCGAATCTAGTCGATAACTGAATTTTCAGATTCAGCATCTCAAAAAACATATGGATCCATTGAGAAAAATTCTTTAGCAATTTGTTCCTGTCCAAACTAACAAATGATTGGTCTATTGTGAAAGTGCCTTCTGAATAATATCAACTGTTCAAGGATTCACTGTTAGGTGGCGCAAATGCACATACCCACCACGACCGCTGAACCATCCATTGTTTTCGCAGGCGAGGTCATTCGAAGGGTGGAAGACGAGCACGTCACCCTGCTGCAGACCATCCTCGAGCGGTGCATGCGCAAGGAGACGCTGCTGTGCGAGCTCTACCTGCAGCTGATCAAGCAGACCACCGACCACCCCGACCCGAACTCGCGGGTCAACCTGCGCCACTGGGCGCTCCTCTCGCTGGCCTGTTCGGTCGTGCTGCCGCCCAACAAGGCTGTGAGGCGGCATCTCATCGCCCACCTGAAGAGGTATGTTCATTCGTTTTTTTTTATATTGATAATTCTAGAACACGTGATTTTGACATGGTTTCTTGAGGGGCACACAAACTATCTGTTAGGTTACCTTCGATGAGCATTGCCCTGGCCGTCCCTGCCACATCCACAATATAATAACAGTTTCACCAAACAAAATTATAAAATTCTTTATGCACTAGCGGGCTGTAAAGTGCACTTTACCGCCCGGTTTTGCGGGCGTTAAGTCGCTCTTTACCGCCCGCGGGCTCATTATGGCCCACGGGCCGTAAAGTACACTTTACCGCCCGCTGTTATCAGTCACGTTATATCCACATATCAATTTATGAAAAACCTATGATCATATTCCTGGATTCTGATATATCCAGCAGTATGTCATAAACTTCTTCTTCATCCGATTCCATAGTCTCGCTATTATTATCATCACTAATTCTACTTTTCAATCAAAGAATGACAATTCAGCTCGTTTATTGGATGTATTGCTATAGACAACAACATGACAACAACCATCAGATTGATTGACAACGTCAAAATAAGTTAGGTTTATATACTGGGTATACATATTGTAAAATTCTGAAGAATGAATCTCTTCTAGAGCTGAAAGAGTTTTACTATTACGATAATTGCAATATTCGTACGATAATTTTCATATGTAAATCATCCATGAACATTACGCTCCTCTTGATTACTGAATTTATGCGTAACAAATTGAATTCTGGGGAATATTAGTTCATCGAAATCTATAGTCATTACTTATGAGTCAGAAAATAAACCACTAGTGCATAAAATTTTGTATGTATCTCGTGCGTGAAATGCGTTTATGGCCTTCAGCGTGTAATGGCCCTCGGCTAGCGCCATCGGGCCATTATTCACGCCACAGGCCATAAACGCCTACTTTACGCCCTTGATACATAAATAACTATTCTGGTTCCAACTCGGATTCCAAGGAAAACGATCCCACTAACTCTGGTTTTATATGACAAATCTTGACAAAATACAATGTTTGCCCCTCAGCAACCTGTCAAATGACGTAATTCTGGAATGATTAATTAAGAAATTAGCTGCATTTTATTGTAGTTCACCAGTGAATGGGCGTGTACACCTTTGTAGAACTTTAAACTTAAACCATGTTTATAATGATCCTTTTATACATAAATAATGATTGACGACATAATTCGATCGAAAAATTAACTGGAATGTTTTATTTTTGGACATAAATAATAGTACCTTCTGAAAACGGACCCTCTTATGACGTAGAAACCTCATCTCGCCATAGTTAAAAGAGAACACCAAAAGCCCGACGGAGACTGAGGCAACTGATATATTAGTTCTTTCAACTGTGATGTCGCGCTAATTCACTCTGTCAGAAATCATGTATCATTCATCTCTGCCTGGAATAGTCTTGTTTCAGTATTAGGGTTTTGACGTCACATCATCGCCTCGTTTTTAGAGGTCCGAAAAATCGGGGATTCCAATAATTTTTTATTAAACGTAGGGAGCTCACAGCACGAAACGGTTTGCGGTGGTGAGCTAGTTTGGGTGAGTTCTATCGAATTATGAAATACATTTTTTTTGTGATATAAGCCCATTGCAATGGACAAGAACAACCTGCATAACAATAGATAGACAACGTGATTCATTCATAAATCATAAGAAAGTATATGCCAACATTCCTAAACGCCAAACACGGATAATAATAATGATAATCTTTATGATTCCCAAGAAACATATATGTTTATAGTAGAGTTCCTAAATGTACTTGACACTGCTGTTCTGACGTTTTTTGTATATTATAGTACGGACACTATGACAAGCGCTGACAATCAGACATAACCACAAATAAATTGATGGAAAAGGCGGGAACTGACTGTACAGGGTGATTCACCATAAATGCCCCCCCCCCTCTAGCTCAGTTATTTTTGAACCGATTTTAAAATTTGAAATATCATCTTGAATGATTTTCGATAAAGTTTTTTTCCGCTAGATCAGAAAATACAGGGTGCTCGGAACAAACGATCTACAGGGTACTATTTGATTTTTTTAAATGGAACACCCTATTTTTCATTGTATTTTTAGATTATCCCTGAAGAGCTGATTTGATCAATGTATCACACTTGGGGTCTAGCCGGACTGATTACAGAGATATAGGGTGTTCAAAATCGAGATTTAACTCTAGGATTTTTTTTGTGACGAAACTATTCATTATCGGTCACGCGGTTTTCATGTCCGTATCTTAACTTTTTATTTACTATCTACTGACATTTAATAATTGGAACAGATACAGGGTGACCAGAATTCTGAATCTTGAACCACCCTGTAAATGTTCCAATTAAATTTCACTAGATAGTAAATCGAAAGTTGGGATGGGAACATAGAAGCCGTTTTGACCAATAATGAATAGTTTCGGCACAAAAAAATCCTAAAGTTGAAAAATCTCGATTTTGAACACCCTATATCTTTGCCGCTAAACCCCAAGTGTGATACATTGATGAAATCAGCTCTTCAGGAAAAATCTAAAAATACAATAAAATACAAGGTGTTCCATTTAAAAAAATCAATTAGTACTCTGTAGATCGTTTGTTCCGAGCACCCTGTATTTTCTGATGCAGCGGGAAAAAAATTTCAGAAAAATCATTTAAGATTCTCTTTCAAATTTTTAAAACGGTTCAAAAATAAGTGAGCTAGAGGGGGGGACATTTATGGTGAATCACCCTGTACACGGACGTACATAACATACATTTCAAAGGTTTGACAAATTGAGAGAACTAGGAGGAAGATGCAAATTTGTGCAGTTTTCAACTGTGAAAACACTTCTGAAGCTGTCTTTCATTCACATTTGACAAGTAGAAACTATGCCATTGATAAAAATGGAACGATACACGCTCCAACAACGCATTGAAATTATTAAAATTCACTATAAAAATGGTGAAAATTTGGCAGAGACGGTTCGAAAAACTCATTTTTGGGTCGTCGTGAAGCACCTTGTCGGACCGCAATACAGAAATTGGTGGAAAAATTCGAGCTGTTGGGACAACTTGGTGATGTGAAGAATAAAACCCGTGCACGTCGCTCAAGAACAGTCGTGAATATTGCTGCTGTAGCCGAATGTGTTGCAGAATACCCAGTTTTGTTCATTCCTCGTCGTTCTTTGGAATTAGGCATTCCACAAACGTCATTACGTTACGGTGAATGGATTGCGCTATCGAGAGATGGTTAATGATTTTTCATGGCCGGAATTGGATGGTATTGATCTGGACAATGTTAACTTTCAACAAGACGGCGCTACCTGCCACACAAGCAATGAAACCAATGATCTTTTATGGGAAAAGTTTCCGGATCGTGTTATCTCTCGAAGAGGTGATCACAATTGGCCACCGAGATCTTGTGATTTAACACCTTGCGACTTCTTCCTTTGGGGCCACGTGAAAGAGAAGGTCTACGCCAACAGCCCAGCGTCGATTCAAGACCTCAAAAATGGAATTCTTGAGGCTATCGAGGAAATAGGGCAGCCACTTTGCGATTTGGTTATGGAAAATATCATGAAAAGAATATGGTCTTGAAGGCGTGGTCGTGGTGGTCATTTGACTGATGTTATTTTCCACTATTAACAACATACCTTCCTCTTTATAATGAAATAAACATCTGATCATTTATATCAAAAAATTGCATTTTTCTTTGAATATCAAAAATAACACCTCTTATTGGAAAACCCTTTATTTCAATTTCTCAATGAAAGACAATAATTTTGCAATTATTAATGTTCTGATTTATTATGTTATATATGTTTTGTTGTATACAGGGTGTCCGGAGATAAAACCGACAAAACTCATGGGGTTATAGGGACTGTCGATATGATTGCAGAATGCCATAAACGAATGTCCAAAAACGCTTCGTTACTGAGATACAGAGTGATTTGTGGATTTTGACAAAAAATTCAATCCGCCATATCAAATACAGGGATTAACCGATCAGATTCAAATTTGGTACACGAATTACACTGAAAAGCATCAACAAGTAGCCCTTTGATCGAAACCAATATCAGGACCGTAATAATATTTTCCCCTTATGTTGAGTTATTGTTAGAATAACTCACCCTGTATAATAGTAACCAAAAATTTCACCTCAGATTCGAAATCTACGGTAAAAATTGTATAGGAATTTGTTGAAAAATCTCCTGGCACTATCTTAGTTATTTCGTAATTTATTATAATTTTAATTTTTTTCATTCAAAAATCAATTATTGTCGGATAAAGTATCATCAAAATTGGTAATGAAATAAATATTAACGAAACCATGGCATGAATATAGTTATTTTCTTCAATCAGTTCGTGAATCGTAGTGAAATAAATTACTCTCATGACCCGAAAAAATTGAAAAATAAATTCGTATCAGGATTGGAATGAGGTTGTCTATGATTATATTCCTGTAAGAATAGATGATCTAGTATAACAATGATCTGATCGCAGATTCGAAATGCACTGAGAAAAGTTAAAAACTTGTTGAAAAATAATCGGACTGAACTTTCAAATAATAAATCCGTATCAGTACCTTATAATGTTTGTGTATAAAGAATACTAGGCTTGTTGTTAAATTCAGAATTTCATTATGGAAAACCATTGTTTACCTGTCATCAGCGGTTGTTTTATTGGTGTTCATTCATTATTCCAGTGTTTTTAGGATCAAACTATAGTTCTGAGAGTGTTTTTATGATGCCGTTTCATCTCACTAATGAGGAATACGCAGATATTCTATTTTTGTATTTTTGTATGGGCTTTAACTGGTGATGTTTATCTAAATGTCTATTGCAAGGTGTAAATACCTGGGGTATGTGGTTCCAGCATGATGGTGCTAGACCTCACTTTTCAGTTCCAGTTAGAAACCATCTCGATGCCCATTACCCCAATAGATGGATTGGCCGTGGTGGTTCAGTAAATTAGCCACCGCTATCCCCTGATCTAACTCAGCTAGATTAATTTTTATGAGGTCGTTTGAAGTAAGAAGTTCATAATGAAGAAATTTGAATGAGAGAAATTGTATTATGGAAAATTACTGCTGCCTGTGTTAGTGTTAGAAATAACCCTCAAATAATTCGCAAGTCAGTGAATCATCTAGTAGCACGATCTCAAAAATGTATTGATGCTGGAGGGCTCCACTTCGAAAATGTTCTGTAATACTGGGTAGTGAAAGTTTTTTACGAATTCATTGGTTTTGCTATGTTCATTACAAACAGTTATTGTTCTTTGTGTAGTATTTTCATAAATTCAAATTCATTAGTGAGCGAATATAACTTACGAAAACTTCACTCTTATCCTTTTTCAACAGGTTCTTATACGATTTTTTAAGATTTCGAATCTACGATCAAATTATTGATAACTATTGATGTACTAGGTCAGCTAACATAAACAAACAAAAAACTCATTCTAGTCCTGATACGAATTTATTCTTCAGTTTTTTCGGGTTATGAAAATATTTCATTTCACTTCGATTTATGAACTGATTGAAGAAAATAACGACATTCATGTTATGGTTTCGTAAATATTTATTATATTACCAATTTTGGTGGTATTTCATCCGAAAATAATTGATTTTTTAATGAAAAAAATTTAAATAATAATTAATTACGGAATAACTAAGATAGTGCCAGGAGATTTTTCAACAAATTCCTATACAATTTTCACCGTAGATTGCGAATCTGAGGTGAAATTTTTTGTTACTATTATACAGGGTGAGTTATTCTAACAATAACTCAACATAGGGGAAAAATATTATTACGGTCCTGATATTGGTTTCGATCAAAGGGCTACTTGTTGATACTTTTCAGTGTAATTCGTGTACCAAATTTGAATCTGATCGGTTAATCCCTGTATTTGATATGGCGGATTGAATTTTTTGTCAAAATCCACTAATCACTCTGTATCTCAGTAACGAAGCGGTTTTGGACATTCGTTTATGGCATTCTGCAATCATATCGACAGTCCCTATAACCCAATGAGTTTTGTCGGTTTTATCTCCGGACACCCTGTATATCCCTCTTGTACACGATACTGTTTCTTGGAGGTAATAAAGACAATCAATCCAATCAACCAAATCTTTTTGATGTTATCAGATGCAGCTCGGATTTCGTGACAGAGGAGGGCAAGTACGCGCGATTCGCGGAAAAGTGCTTGGGCAAGACGCAGGGCACCCGGAGGCGGCAGTGGCCGCCCTCGCGCGAGGAGATCCTGTGCACGATCAACAGGCGGCCGGTGTACGCCCGGTTCCACTTCATGGACGGGCAGTACCATTCGGTGGAGTTCCATCCGTCGGCTACGGCGAAGGACGTGCTGGAGGTGGTCAGGGACAAGATCGGGCTCAATCAGGATGCCAAAGGTTAGTGTTGCATGTGGAAGATTGGTAATTATTGAATCCTTTGTATTATATTTCGCGATGTTGAGTTGTCATGTATATTTGCGTTATATAGATGAAATGCCACCGGACGTTCCTTTTTCCCATGTATTCTTGCATTTCTCTGGTCTGAATAGTCTCCTGTTGGTGGAAGGTGAGAAAAACGGTGTTTTTTTTTACTGTTTAACTTTTCGGGCAATCCACATAAAAATAACAAACTCTCTTGACACAAGTTCGGGTATTATGGCTATTCGTCGGATGAGGGTTAGAAGAGGACAATAGCACATATTATATACTCTGATAATGGATCAAATTTGAGAATAACACAGAGATAATCGAGGAAATCAATAGAGGAGACTATTCAGACCAGAGAAATGCAATAAGACATGAAAAAAAAAAGAAACATCCAGTGGCATTTCATCTCAACTCTTACCCCGCATATGGGGGGCTGCTGGGAACATTAAATGAAACTACTTTTTATGTTATTTCAAATGAAAGATTCTCGAGACAAGAGGTTTTGAGAACTATGATGATTGGAGTCGAGAATATTGTGAACTCCAAGTCTTTAACCCATGTATCAATCAATAGATCCAAATGATATGCTAGGTATTGGAAGAAAACTTATATATAGGACGCCAATGGAGATACGCTCAAACCCTACCAAACATATTCTGGAAAAGATGATTATATGAATATCTACGTACAATTATCTCAAGAAAGAAATCGCTGAAAGAAAACACACAATTAAAAATTGGTGATTCAGTTTTGGAAATCAATCAAAATTCTCTCAGAAATTCATGTCCTATGGAAATTTTTACAAAAATATATTCTGGGAAATATAAGAGAATACGAGTAATAGATGTCAAAATTAAGGAAAAAATTACCTAGACTAGACCTGGTTGAAGAAGTCTTTTTGAGTTGGAGAAATCAGAAGATTGATATTCATTGAATCCTTTGTATTATTTCGCGATATTGAGTCATTGTTGTTGTTATGGATATATACGTAATATAGATAAAATGAGTGTGAAAGCACAATAATGAATTGATGGTGAAGATGTTGCAATGTGGTGTAACCAAATCGAGGCTTTCAATGGTACCAGTAGGTTTATCAACTGACTAGTATCCACTGACTTAAACTACCTAGACCGCTAATGCTATAAGAAATGATCTAAAATTGTTCTTATCCGTCATCCGGTTGCCCCCTTACGTGCCACCCTCAGAAGTCTTCGAAAGACTTGTGCGAGCAAGGAATGACGGGGGCCTTACCTTTTAACTTGTGATCCCACACACTTTCTTAAGCCATCAGTAAAATTCTGCAGTCGTGGGAATAGAAACCACCAACCGGCAATCCATCGTGAATAGAATACTGATGCATCAACCACGCGGCTAACCTGGCCTGTTTGTTAACTATGCCACTCGCGAAATGAGAACATGAATAATACCCAATTAGGATCTGTCATATATCCTACTCACTCTTACTCATGTTTCCGAACACCAAGAAACATGACTCGATGTCCTTAACGACAGTGTGAGGCGCATTGAGCAGAAGCGTTTTCAGACGAACAATTCACCCGAGATTTTCGGGTTGCTGAGATATGACATATAGCGGTCTAGATATTAGATATGTCAGTGGAAGTGTCGTTCTTAGACAGCTTCCGACAGCCACTCGAGGCTAACATTATTTTTTGTCCACCAGATCGCGCTACTGAGACGTGAGGTCAGAGTTGGAAGAACTGATAGGTATACTTTTTTTTCGTGTCATTTGGCCTCTTGCTAATATCTTCTCTGTTAATGTAGAAATTGCGCGCATAAAGTTCGACATTGAGTGTGTAAAATGCAAGTCTGCTCTAGTCTTGCAACATCCTGAGTTCTTCTATTTGTTAACATGGGCCACATGATTTTTTCTGAATGTTTTCGATAAAACAGGTCACAGCCTTCAAGGCTATACGGCAAAATTCTGGGACTTTTGGCTTTGACATTGACCTCACGTTCTGGTAAAGCCAACGGGTTGCGTGCAAGAACTGTCAGATGACCGACCCTGGAGGTGAAACATTGAAACACAACCTCAATTTTCTTATTCGTTTACAAATGATTGAAATAGTTTTTCACAATTATTTTGGCATACGAATCGTATTTTTTCGGCTATTCATTAATTCGCGCATATCATCACATTGTGCTGTAAAATGCACAGAACATGCAACGAGAGACGAAGGAATCTGGTTAGTACATTATGATTCAAAAGTATGTACCTACTATATTCACTCACATAGTTTTCATTTTGATATTTGGTAATTGATATGATTTCTCATCGGAATTCCTTTTGCAATAGGAGCTAATAGAAATACTCGTGAAATTTCTGAAAGAATGCAAGAAGATTGGATTCATGCAATATGCAATCAAACGGAAGGACTGGTCTGACATGCTGACGAAATATGATCGTATTTGTTGTACACATTCTCAATTTTTTAGCAGTACTGGCTTCTTGCATTTTTTGTGCATTGTACAATATCACAATGAAAAGGCATGCTTGAATTAATAAATAGCGCAAAAAACACGATTCGTATGCCAAAATATTGTGAAAAACTATTTCAATCCTTTGATTCCTCTGTAAGCAAATAAACAAAGTGAGGTTGTGTTTCAATGTTTCACAGAAGAGTGAGGTTGTGTTTCAATATTTCACCTCCAGGGTCGGTCATCGTGCACGCGACCTACTGGTGAGACTGAAAATGATAACCCTCATTGACCCATCGGTCTTCTAGGTTATGCGATATACGAGGTCCTCGGGAGCTCGGAGAGGAGTTTGGCCGCCGAAGAGAAAGTGACGGACGTAATGGCCAAATGGGAGAGGTACAGAGCCGCCTCGGCAGCGACCAACGCCAACAGTACCGGGACAGCCAAGAGGGCCAGGCCTCAGCACCATTTCTTCCTGTTCAAGAAGCATTTGTTCATGGACAACTTCATCAATTTGGGCGATCCGGTGGAGAAGGAACTGCTCTACCATCAGGTTCTGCACGACTTGAGGGGCGACCGGTTTCCTATCACGGATAAAGAAGCTGTAAGTACTCTTAAAATAAATGAAATCTATCTGAATATACAGGGTGGGTCACGATGGATGGTACCCTAGACGTATAGGATCATTCTGAAAAGTTTGTCACTCAAGTAGTTGATCTTGGTCTATTGATCTGAAATATTTTCAGCAATGCAGCGGTGCCGCTTATACCAGAGAGTAGTGACAACTTTGATATTTCAAATGGAAGACCCTGTATTTCATTGCATTTCTAGATTTTTCCTGAAGAGCTGATTCCATCAATGTAACACACTTAGGGTCTAGCGGGAACGATTACAGAGATATAGGGTGTTCAAAATCGAGATTTTTTCATTATCGGTTGAAACGTCTTACATGTCCCTATCTCAACTTTCGATTTACCATCAACTGACATTTAATTAAAACAATACAGGATGGTTCAAGATTCAGAATTCTGATCACCCTGTGTCTGTATATCCTCAATTTCGACCATCAATATTATAAGTGTGTTATTGACTGAAAAACTCATTCATTTTTTATTTTGCAAATTATCCATGTGCCATCTACTTTATTCTTATCAAGAGGTGTAGCACATTGCCAAATTCTAGATAATTCGTATGTGGACAAAATATCTGTTTGCTGGTATAGTTTTTCGAAAATATTTTATGGAAAATAAAAGGGAAAGAGGAGGAAGATTGAAATTATGCTGAATAAATTTGAAAGAAAAAGTCTTCAACTTGGTTTAGGAGGTGGGTTCCATATATTTTCTTCTCTTTTACTCTTTATTGATCAATTGATTGGAATAAAGTCATGCTCATACCTGTATACTAACGGCGCTCGTTGACATACAGAAAATGCTTGAAGAACCAAACAAAGCCCATTTACTTGATTTTCAAATAAGGAGTCAGACAAATAAAGAAATGAATAATTGTGATAATACATTGATTATAATAATATAATAAAATCGTGATTGAAACGGAAGACACTTACACAACAAGCTTTATTCAAATTGAACAGTTTTCATTATATTCAATATAATCATTAGATATTGGAGTGGTCTTTAAATGCGTCAACGACGACGAGTTCATTGACGATCACTATCACTCAGAGAAAAAAATGTGAGGGACTTGTTTATTTGACCTATTATTGTTGGTATCCTGAGTTTTTGGACCTTGGCAATGGATGTCATCGTTCTAACCTGTCCTTTGTATACAATCATGTCCCGAAATTTTTTAGAATCCGACGTCTGAGCTTTTTAATAATTATAAATCAACTTTTCCAAATTAAAACATCCAGTACAGTGTAGTTTCGATCAGGTCAGCGGAGTTCATAGACGTCAGTTCCTCTAGAATTTGCAAAAACCGTTTACCGTGCGATAATACCTGGGTAAGCAATATCGAAAGGTAATGGCCATTCCCATTGCGGAAAATTGCGAATCTAGCATCGATTTAAAATATAAATAGAACCCCAATCGATAAGGTATGGTCACTATCAGTTCAATCGTTATTCGATTCATCACTACCAATTATTATATTAAAATCATTACATAACACTCATTCATCGATTGCTGACTTCCAAAGTGGTACTATGCCACTTTGGGGGTGTGACATCTCCTCGACTTTGGTGCTGCTGCCCATAACATAATGTAAGTACCAAGAACCATCATCTTGTTTCTGTTGTTCGCTCGTTTCATGTTTGTTCTATGCTGTTCCGCCCTTTTGGCACATTTTCATGTTTTCGTGATTGAATAAATTGTTTGTTGTACCAGGTGATTCAATAAGGGTGGCGAGGTACTGTATCTCAGAAACTAAAAGTCTATAAAACACGCCCCTTTGCGAGGGCGGTAAGAACCCCAAAATGACATGTATGATTTTTTATTTCATTCGTCAAACATTCCTTTCTTGATACAGACCTTGTTGGCAGAATTCTTAGCTCCTCAGATACAGAATCTCGTCATCCTTATTGAATCACCTGGTACTTATGAAAAACAATTCTCTTTATTTCGGGATTAATATGGTTGGGTGGTGAAATGATCAAAACCTCTCGTCAAAAAAGCCAAGCGAGTAGCTAAGTTACGACCTATAGGAGTTGCGACAATATTATGATCGGGCACCTACCTACTTGACATGTTACGATTAGCTGGCATCGGGGTATTTCAGTTTGTTTTTTAATTTGTGAATTTTTATTCACTTGCCTTTGACGTTGGCCCACCTCTTTGGCTGTGAAATCAGTGGAAAATCAAATTCTTTTCAGATGATGTTGACTGCTTTACAAGCCCAACTAGAACTAGGCGACTTGGATGAGACGATCCACGACTACAGGCCCATAGCTTCTCATTGCTTGCCCGCCCGGATGGTACCTACTTTACCGAGCGAGGGGGTGCAAATGCATCACCAGTCGCTGCGAGGGATGACTCCCTCCGAGGCCAAACAGGCCTTCCTCAATCTCATCCAGAGTTGGCCTCTGCATAAGGCGACGATATTCGATGTCATGGTGAGTGATTTGGGCAGCAGTTTTTTCGGAATTCAGATATATGACCTTAACTCTTAACTTCTACGTATCTTTTTTTTCAATAGACTCGGCCGTTTCTTGATGTAAATCGATGGCAAATGTGAAATCTTCACAAACGATAAGATTTCCACAAAATTCTTAATCACACGACATGTTTCGCTAACACAGTAGCTTCATCAGGTGAAATACTGGTACAATGGTTCATTCACAAGGTGCAAGGTTACCTTATGTTATTCTTCCGTCCTCGAGTAAATCCCAAAATCCCCGCATGGGCTCTCCTACTATTATGTTCTGAAATCTTTCATATCTAAGTCTTTCATCGATATAGGAGTAGAGAAATTGCTATAGCTAGAAAAAATAACCTTTCCTACCAAGTGAGCAAGAAGTGTTCATATCCAAAGAAAAACTTAATTCTCAAAAGTTCGTTGGACTACTTAGTGAGGTCAATTGGAATATACTTCATGCTACCACGGATATAAATGATGCTTGTACGCATTTCAATGAAAACATTCCGAATATCATCAGAGAGTGTACTCCTCTAAAGAAATGTCGTTCACGCAAGTATCCAATTCGGTTCTCCGCATCAATAATTCGTCAACTGAAAGGGAAAAATCATTATCTGAAGATGTATAAGCGAAACAGGTACTCATTTTACTTAGAAATTTTAAAACGGGCCAGATGTACAGTCAAAAAAGAAATAGATTCAGCACATAAAATGTTCATCAAAAATTCTGAAAATTATCTCAAAAAAGATCCTCAAGCTTTCTGGAACTTCATCAATTCCAAAAAGAATAAATCTCGTATACCCGGTCCTATGAAATATGAAAATTAATTCTTTACTACAGCGAAATCAGTCATAGATGTATATGCCAAATATTTCGAAAGTGTCTATCTTCCTCCGAGCAATGACGGTGAAATTAGTAATCCATGCAATACCTCAGTGTACCCTCATGCATACAAAACAATACATCTAAATAAGAAGATCTATTATAGAGTTATGAGTTTAAGAAATTATTTTGTCTTGTAGCAATCGTTCACATCAAACTGGCCGCGAGTGCTGTGGCTGGCGGTGGATCAAAAAGGCCTCCACTTACTCGAACACCGGTCCCGCAACGCTCTCTGCACGTACGACTACGGCAGCATCCTCAGCTACTCGCCTGCCCTCAACTGTCTCATGATCATCACGGGCAGCGACAGGAAACAGAGCAAGGTAACGATTTCGACCTTTCTCCGTGCATTTATTTGGTCTCTTCTTGAATTCAGGTTTGAGCGTGGGAGGGAATTCTCATTATCGACAATGCCTCACAAAGCTGGAACTAGGATTCCTGCGACTTCGACGAATTTCACCCTGAGAATATTACTCTTCAATTAATAAACTGATGGACAAATGAGGTTATTTCCTTTTCAGTTTACGTCAGTATCTTATATTGGCGGCCAAAATTTGTAATAGGTGACAGGCGATGTTGGGATACGATTTGGCGCTATTTTTAATCTCCGCTCTGATTCTGATGGATACAAGTATTTTCTGTTCATTTCTTTTATGCAGTATTTCGTGAAATTGCGACATATCCATAGAACATAAGCATTATTTCGATATCAGAATATTAGCAAATCTGCCAGAGGATCGGTCATGCCAAAGTTCATGTCAAGTGGACATCAAGTCATATAGCTGACATTTACTTGTTGTGTTATGTAGAGCGGTCTGTCTCCTATAGATTTTCATGGGTAATCATCACATTGGTTGTATTTGTCTGGTTTAATTTTTTTTTCATGTTTGTCTCCTACGAGTTGTTTATGTCCACTGTTGGTAATGATAATATGAAAATATAATAATACATAACAAAATTTTGGAAAAAATATCATCAGAAAACAAATAGACATAAATGGAAAACTACTCAGCAGATAGGCTCTTGGTAGGTATGCATTTGATTGGTTTTTGTCTGTTAATAAGATTTTGAGAATAGTTTCCTTTGAAATTCTCTGTAAGCCGCGAATCAGGCAATTTGGGCCAACATTAAGCTATTCATTTAGCGTCGTATTTTACCAAATCGCTGCCAACAGTAAGTATGTGACCTAAATCATGAAATTTCATAGGTGCAGCCAGGGAGAATGAAATAATCTGGATAATATTTCTTCGCACGTTCGTCACAACGTCAGGAAATCAATCAAATCAATTATTCAAGGACATAGTTGTAATGAAGCAGTGGCGTGATGTTTTGAAATGCAAGTATTCCAGTACTGCACGTCTCTTCAATGGCAATTCCAGAATGAGGTCGTCAACAAAATTCATGATAGAAATCACTGCTATATATTCTACCCTGAAATAGTAGGTATCTGCTAAATCCATTCACATGCAAAGAAATATTATACAGACTCATTATTCGGTATCCCAATCCAGATGATCTACTTTCTCTTCAAACATATCGTTTTATTTTCTCGGTAACCCTGTCATTATGATTAATATAACATTATTGTGGTATTTCGGGTGTATTTTGGTATTTTTGTATTCGGCTAACTGAACCCCCTTGATCCAGGTAATACTGACCACGGCCCAGGCGTTCCAAATAGCCACCCTGATCAAGGAGTACATGGAGGTGTTGCACGGCAACGCCGTCGAGCTGCGAAGGGCGGACCTGCCCAAGGGCAGGCAGGTGGGCGGCCTGCACCAGACCGCGCCGCTGGTGCCGCCCCAGCCCAGCTAGAAGAGGGTCACTTTCGCGGACCAGTTGGACGGCGGCGGCCGTTGATTCGCATTCGTCCTCCCGTGAAGTAGCTTTGAGGTGTATGTGGAGGTATGGAGATATCAAGCGTCTAACTACGCCATTTCTATCGGCAGCTCTCTGAATTCTCGTGCGTACATGACATTACTCACAAGACGCGATATTTGCGAGATGCAGATTTCATGTAAGCGAATGATTGAGTTAACTGTATATACGACTACCGAACCTGCGCCTGGGTTTCAATAGCTGCGAGGGATTTTATTTCGTTCTCAAGTAGTTTACCGAAAAATATACTTTCTTGGTAGTAAGTCAATTCAAGCCAAGTTAGGTTAGATTGTTTGTTCGGAAATTCAGAGAGCAACTGATGAATTTTTTATAGTTAGACGCTCATATGGAGATATCGCCGTGCATACGAAACAACTGGGAATTACAGTTCGATTTTGGAATAGTAGTTTTTCTATTCGGCGTCTCTAATCAGTCCATTATGACACCCGAATTCTCATTCAATCAGATACGAGATGTTCTTGTTGAAAAATGAGCCCTTTCGGATATGATGATCTGCTAAGTACAATGAAACATAAAATATTTCACTTTGAAGTGACCCAAAATTGAACTACTTAGTGAGCTCTCAAATTTCTTGAAAGAGTCATTAACTTGAAAAATAATACTTAACATCTAACCAAAGAATAGTGAATGTATTTGCTGATTCTGGCTGATTGTCTGATGTGTTGAAGCATAAATTTTCGAGACACGTTTCGAATCGCCAAAGAAGACCGGGGACGAAAGGGGGAGGATGAATAGTTCGAATCTAAACAATTCAGTTTTGCAGATTACGTCGCTTTCATCAAGTCACGAACGATATGACTGACTGCACTTTTGAACTGATACCACCATTTCTAGCGAGCGCTTGTGATTTTAAATTGATAGTTAGTTGATGATCGCAACAATTATATTGTGCGGCTCACATTCTTTCCGCCGGTCATCTATTAGTATCCAGAATATTCTAGATAGTATAAGTATACCTATAGTAGGTAGCAAGATGACATACAATAATTTAATCCATCCAGATTTTCAAAATGCCATCCACTTCAAATTACAATATCTTATAGACAGCATCAATTTCAAAGGTTTCTAACACGTATAATGTGTTTTCCAGATAAAAATTTTCTGTAAAGTTGTTTCCGCACGGATTTTTTATTGCGCCCTGTCTCTTTTTTGTCCTGTCTCTAGATGCTTCAATTCAGGTCGTATTGAATGAGGGCTAACATTATTGTCTACCAAATTGCGCTACTGAAACGTGAGGTTAGAGTTGGTAGAACTGATGAATATACTTCTTTTCGTATCATTTGGCCCCTTCTTACTATATCTTCTTCTCCGAGAATGTTAGAATTGGTCGTAAAGTTCCATATTTAGAGTAGAAAAACGTAAGTCTGCTCAAGTCTTTCCATAACTTTTGATTTTTCATGTGTTCAAATATCCTACATAATTTTTTCCGAATATCGTCGGTGAAATGTCGAAACCAAGTAACTGAAAAAAATTCTAAAATGAGATTCATTCGATGGTATTGGTGGGGACGCGATGCAAAACCTCACAACTGGCAAAAAATTCTTAATTCAAAATATATAAGTACAAAACCTTTTATCTGAAAAACAAAATAAAAGTGGTCTTCAAAAACAAGTATGTAATAATCATGTGATTCACGCCTTTGATTTTGTGTATTGTAGTTGGGTTCAATTATTACTTTTCACAGAGATTAATCTCAGCTAATTGGTGAGTGCATTTTCATAGAACAAATATGTGAGACAGTTTTTGCGAATTACATTTGCTGAATAATTGTTGCTGTTTTCGCTCAGAAGCAGATATTAAAACCAAGTATCTAACGCTGACAAACAAACACAATAACTTTTTTCAATAATCAATGTACAAACGTAAGGATTATAATAATAATCAAGTGGTTTGTAATTATTTTTTATTAAATCTGATCAGTTTACCCAGAATTATAAAGTTTTTAGTGTCTCCTGAAAAGTTTGGTTTTTGCAGTTACTTGGTTTCGAAATTTCACCGTAGTTATTTTCGATAAAACAGGCCACAGCCACAGCACATGGATTGAACAGCAACGTCACTTCTATCCGTGGTACATGCACTCAAGTAAGTGTATTGCTGTTGACTTTATAAATAGAGTGGCGACAATAGTGGTACACTTTTTGATTGGTCAAACCTAGAAAACATAGAGGTGTACCCACCTGTCTTGTCTCCTCCATTCAGTTCTACGCATTCTATTTCAGTTTGTCAATGCTTTGTCCTGTTTCTTGCTCTTTGGACACAAAACATTCAACAATCAGACATGAAACTCCATACGTCAGTACCTTGAATATTAACTATTTGAATTCGTCTTTTGGGACTTGTAAGTCTCAGATTATTTAGATGATGAAATGAAAATATCAAATATCTAAACCTAACATCAGGTAGGCACTTCGAAGGCGCAAATTCATTACTGCATGGGGGATACCTTTCACAATTTTAGCTATTCTGTGACTTGACCACGAATGACATTCCGAAACGGCAGCCATTTGTTGGTCTATTGTCGTCACACTATTTATTAGCGCGGGCTAGCGCGTAGCTCGTTCAACTTGAATGGCACTATGCATCCCCACAACACGGCGCGGGATGTCATGCGCGTACTTAGGTATTTCATCGGAGTGACGCTGCTGTTTAATTCTTATGCTGTGACACAGTCTTTAGGGCTATATGGCAAAATTTTGAGATTTTTTACTTGACATGGACCTCAAGTTTTAGTAACGCCAACTGGTGACACTGAAAATGTTAGCCCTCATTTATGCGTTTTGAATAGGATGTTCACCATGATTACGTTTCTAAAGCGTGGACCATTAATTATTATCGAAAAGCGGTATCAGGATTCAGGAAAAAAATATTTTCAACTTATAGTGAATTTATGGTATTTTGTTGATGCATTTCCGAATATTAGATGAACTACTTTTGGAAAACTGACATACCCAGATTTTTCGAATGTGCGGTGTGAATTTTTGAGGGTGAGCTCGTACCTCAAGAGGGTGACGAATGTGGTGGTCCGCGAAAATTTGTTATCGAATATGTTAAGTATACCAAATGTTCCAGAGTATTAATGCATTTATTTATTATGAATATAATATTAGTGATACATGAAGAACAATTGTGTTGGTTAACAGTGTCTTTTTTGTGTAGAAGACTGATCAATACTTTCAAACACAATGATGTGTTCAAGCCATGTTTGAAATAATATCTCGAATTTTTGTGACGTTGGCGTTGGGTCATCTGAATAGATTTTAGTCTTCTGTCATAAACTTCCGAGTCTCAGGACTCCAGACATTTTTAGTAGTTTTTTTTTTAAATTCATATTGAGTGTGATGATTGTATCTTGAAACCTTTTTTGATCCTTCAGTTTCCTCTTCCATTTTGATCTCGTAGTAGTTCGAACCAGCGAATATTTGTGTCGATCCATATCATTCAAAATATCTGATAGCATAACTTATGATCTTTTTGGCAATCTTCACATGTTCAACTACTTCCGTTTGTATTATCTTTAAAATTATTGCTAGGATATGAAAAGTTAGTTGAATTATTGATTTTTTTTGTATGATTCAATAAGTTTCATTCTATGGCATATTTATGATGACGCCTGACGAAGAAAAGTAATCAAAAGGGTCAATGGTTTCTAAGCGCGAAAATATTTCAGATTGAGTTGATTAAAATTATTGAAATTATGATATCAATACCTTTAAAATACGTAGAATAATTCCAGAAACCAGAAACCTATTTCGAATGTGACTGAGACCCATCCAGTTATGTACTCAAACTTATTCAATACTTAAATGGAGCAGAATATTGTACAAAACTCCTGATACTAAGATTTTTTCAAATGTCAAACTAGTACCAACCTACCCTACTCATGTTTACTTTGCATAAAATCTAGCAATATATCCTAGTTAATTACTGGTCAATACAAGGAAAACTATATTCGCCTGGCAAAAATAATTTTCCTATAGGAAAACCGTGTGCATTCTGTGCATGGGCATTTTAACGAAGAGAACGGCGACGTTGCCATACGCTTCCTATCGAGTTAGCTCATCCTTCGAGCGAGTCCATTGTTCGGCCCGACAGCAGGGATTATCGTTTGCCACACGTGCCATACTCGTGTAGGTGGGGCAACGACGCTTACCCATCGCATGGTTTCTCTATAGGAAAATTATGTTTGCCAAACAAGTATAAGATTTCACACCTGATCAGCTTATTTTTAAGTTTGGAGGGCGATTCAAAAAATCCTTTATATGCTCAATAAGAGTTATTTATTATACAAGGGAAAAAAATAGTAGATTTTAGCTACAGGTTGTGTTGTCACAAAAACCGTGAGCTAAAATCTAATATTTTTCCCGTGTATAATACACTATTTTTTTCTGTGACAGAAGGAAGGACGAATCAATATTGAGAAGATATTACATTATTTCGAAATCTGAAAATTATCGACGTGAAATTTCAAGTTTTTAACAGTAGGGACACCTGCGTTTTATAGGCATCTTTATCATTCTTCTGAAGTAATCAAATATCTGATGTCACTTCTGTCAGTTCAATTCTGTGATTTGATTTTGAAAAATTGCGAATTTAGTAGTTGTTTAGTAATATACGAAACCGCGAAGTCAAATGGAAGATAAAAGGACTTGCAGTTCTTTCTCGGAGACGGTATTATTGACTCATTTTTCGGAACTATAGCACAACAGAAGCCATCAACAGTGTATATTCAATGTGATATATATCCGGGAAAAAAGTACTCACTTTTTTCCCACGGAAAAAAAGTAATTTATGAAAAGTGACATTTTATAACCTGCCAACAGAGATGAAATGCCAAACTTTTTTCCCGTCACAGAAAAAATTATATAATTCGTAACAAACCTCATCTAATCTTGATGAAATGTTGGATATTTAGGACATTCGAATAGAATATATAATACAATATTCTGTTTTAATATTCAAAAATACATGATATGGTTTCTCCCTCCTTTTTCTTCTTCTTTTTGTTTCTTTGACGCCGGCATCTTCTGCATAATGTTCATCACAGTTTATACCATGACAGGGCGATTTATGTGACTTAAAAGTCTCTTCCAGTACTTACTAAATCCCGGGACATATTTTTTGGAATCGCCCTTCCTTACGAGGGTGGTTACAAAATTAGTTGAATGAATACTGATTATTTTCCAACTAGTTGATGACTGATTCAAACCTATGATTTTCAATATAAGAATTCAAATAATTCTCGGAATGCAAGAAGACTTCTGACTAGACAAATAAATAAATAATTCATGGCCCAATTCCTCATGTTGGTAAATTATACCAAGAGAAGAATATATTATGTTCTCGAAGAAGTGTTACTAGTATTGCATCATTTTCCATAGATATATTTCAAATGAGAAAAAAGAGGTAGTTATTGACACCTTGAATCTATTTATTAGTATCATTTGGAACCTGCTGTTTCATGATTATGTGAACTCGTATCTTAATTAGCTAATCATATTCTAGACATATTACAAAACTAG